AACATTCAATTTGTGGCAGTTCCAGTTCCCAATGTGAACAGCATGAAGATAAATATACACAATGGTGTCAGGGGGAGGGGGACTGTCACACTTTCTTCTGGAATATGCCTTTGCAAAGGAAATCTGGAGAAGGATGCAGTGCTACATGTTACTCTAGACTCAACATCAATTATGTTGCCTACAGCAAATCCCAGTTGAGTCAATGAATACTGGCCCAGCCAGCTACACTCACATTGCATAAACAAACACAAAGTAATTTGTAAATGATGTGTATTGATCACACTTGCTTACCTCAAAATGGAGTCTAATACAATTGGTGTGTTCATTCCCAAGGATGACCAGTTTTCGCCTCTGGACATGGTGACCCCCTTCCCTCCAATTCCCACTCTACAACCCTATCCGGGATCCAGCGAGGTTTGAGATTTCTCCAGTGAGTATTGTACTGGCAGAGGACATCACTTCACTGGGGGCAATGCCTTTCAACAGAGGCATGACCTCTGATTGGCCAGCAGCTCTGAGGTAAGAAGAAACAGAGTTGACCTCATCATCACCAATCTGCCAGCTGCAGATATTTCTGTCCATGTCAGTATCAGTAAGGGTGACGATCGCACAGTCCTTGTGTAGGCAAAGTCCTGCCCTCACGTTGACAATAACCTCCATCCTATTGCGTGGCACTATTGCTGTGCTAAACGGGACAGGCTTCAAAAAAACTGGCAGCTCAAGACTGGGCATCCATGGGGTGCTGTGGGCCAACAACAGTAGCAGAACTGTACTCCGACACAATCTGTAATCTCATGGCCCGCCTCTACCCTACCTCCACCACTACCATCAAGACAGGGGATCAACCCTGGTTCAATGGAGGGCATGCCAGGAACAGCACCAGGCATACCTGAAGATGAGGTGTGAAGCCATCAAACAGGACTACTTGCATGCCAAACAGCAAGCAATGGGCAAAGCTAAGCGATCCTACAACCAACGGATCAGGTCTAAGCTTTACAGTCTCGCCACATCCAAGCGCAAATGGTAGTGGACATTTAAACATCTCACTGGGACAAGAAGACTCCACAAGATGGCCATCCTTGGAGCAATCTTCAGCCAGAAGTGCCGAGTGGATGATCCATCTCAGCCTCCTCTATGTGGTCGCCAGCACTACACATACCTTCAGCCAATTCGATTCACCCCATGTGATATCAAGAAATGGTTGGAGACACTGGATACTGCAAAGGTTATGGACCCTGACAACATTCTGGCGATAGTACTGAAGACTTGTGTTCCAGAACTTGCCATTCCCAAGCTGTTCCAGTACAGTTACAACACTAGTATCTACCAGACAATGTGGAAAATTGCCCAAGTATGTCCTGTACACACAAAGCTGTACAAATCCAACCCAGCTAATTACCGCCCCATCAGTCTCCTCTCAATCAGCAGTAAAGTGATGGAAGGTGTCTATCAAGCAGCACCTGCTCAGCAATAACCTGCTCAGTGACGCCCAGTTTGGGTCCTGCCAGGGCCATTCAGCTCCTGACCTTGTTACAGCCCTGGCTCAAACATGGACAAATGAGCTAATTTCCAGAGGTGAGGAGAGAGTGACAGCCCTTAACATCAAGGCTGCATTCAACTGAGTGTGGCATCATGGAGTTCGAGCAAAACTGGAATCAATGGGTATCAGGGCAAACTCTCTGGTGATTCAAGACATACCTGTCACATAGGCTGATGGAAACCGAAAGAATTGAGGATGATGTAAATCAGGAACAAAAGGAGAAGCTGCTGGAAAAGCTCAGCAGGTCTAGCAGCATCTGCGAAGAAAAAAAGTCAGAGTTAACGTTTCGGGTCCAGTGCTTGCTTGGAGGTCAGTCATCTCAGCTCCACAACATCTCTGCAGGAGTTCCTCAGGGTAGTGTCCTAGGCAAAATCAGCTTCAGCTGCTTCATCAATGACCTTCCCTCCATCATAAGGTCAGAAGTGGGGATGTTCGCCAATGATTGTATAATGTTCAGCACCATTCGCAACTCCTCAGATACTGAAGCAGACCATGTTCAAATGCAACAAGATCTGGACAATATCCAGGCTTGGGCTTACAACTGGCAAGTAACATTTGCGCCACACAAATGCCAGGCAATGACCATCTCCAGTAAGAGGCAATCTACCCACCTCCCCTTGATATTCAATGGTGTTACTATCACTAAATCCCCCACGATCAGCGTCCTGGGGGCGGTACCATTGACCAGAAACTCAACTAGACTCGTCACATAAATACAGTAGTTCCAAGAGCAGGTCAGAGGCTAGGAATGCTGCAGCAAGTTACTCACCTCCTGACTCCCCAAAGCCTGTCTACCATCTACTAGGCACAAGTCAGGAGTGTGATGGAATACTCCCCACTTGCCTGGATGGGTGCAGCTCCGACAACACTCAAGAAGCTCGACACCATCCAGGCCAGTGCAGCCCACACTCACTGGAACCACCCTCACAAGCGTCCACTCCTGCAACACTGACCCTCACGAGGGGCAGTGTGTACAAGATGCACTGCAGAAATTCACAGAAGATCCTTTAGACAGCAGCTTCCAAACTCCCACTCATCATCCTGACTCGGAAATGTATCACCATTCCTTCACTGTCGCTGGGTAAAAATCCTGGAATTCCCTCCCAAAGGGCACTGTGGATCTACCCATAGCACAAGGACTGCAGCTCACCACCAGCTTCTCATGGGGCAGCTAGGGACGGGCAATAAGTGCTGCCCAGCCAGCCATACCCATGTCCCACAAATGAATAATATAAAGTTCACTCCCCAATACCCAGTCTAGTGCTTGAATTGCCCTTAATTCACTGCACGATTATCTGAGACTATTGTTCCACACCAACCACCTTCATGAATGACCATTCATTCATCAAACCAGCAGAGGCATTGTTTCCTGATAATGGCAGTGTGTCAAATCCATTCAAAACTCCCTGCATGCAACAACATCAGAACATTGCCCAATCTCAGGTGTAGTAGCAACTGCAGATTTTGGAAGTTTGGAAGCTGCTATCTAAAGGATCTTCTGTGAATTTCTGCAGTGCATCTTGTACACACTGCCCCTCGTGAGTGTCAGTGTCAGATGCAATCCGACCCCACCACCAAAGACATTTTTTCCTCCCCACCCTTATCTGCCTTCCAGAGGGACCACTCTCTCCGTGACTCCCTTGTCTGCTCCACACTTCCCTCCAGCCCCACCTCACCCGGCACTTTTCCCTGCAACCGCAGGAAGTGCTACAACTCCCCCACACCCCCATCCCAGGCCCCAAGAAGACTTTCCACATTAAGCAGATGTTCACCTGCACATCTGCTAACGTGGTATACTGCATCCGCTGTTCCCATTGTGGCCTCCTCTACATCGGGGAAACCAAGCGGAGGCTTGGGGACCGCTTTGCAGAACACCTACGCTCCGTTCGCAATAAACAACTGCACCTCCCAGTCGCGAACCATTTCAACTCCCCCTCCCATTCCGCAGACAACATATCCATCCTGGGCCTCCTGCAGTGCCACAATGATGCTACCCGAAGGTTGCAGGAACAGCAACTCCTATTCCGCTTGGGAACCCTGCAGCCCAATGGTATCAATGTGGACTTCACAAGCTTCAAAACCTCCCCTCCCCCCTACTGCATCCCAAAACCAGCCCAGCTCGTCCCCGCCTCCTTAACCTGTCCTTCCTCCCACCTCAAGTCCCACCCCCATCTCCTAACTACTAACCTCATCCCGCCCCCTTAACCTGTCCGTCCTCCCTGGACTGACCTATCTCCTCCCTACCTCCCCACCTACACTCACCTTTACTGGCTCCATCCCCGCCTCTTTGACCGGTCTGTCTCCTCTCCACCCGTCTTCTCCTCTATCCATTTTCTATCCACCTCCCCCTCTCTCCCTATTTATTTCAGAACCCCCTTCCCCTCCCCCATTTCTGAAGAAGGGTCTAGGCCCGAAACGTCAGCCTTCCTGCTCCTCTGATGCTGCTTGGCCTGCTGTGTTCATCCAGCTCTACACCTTGTTTTCCCAATCTCAGGTGAGTTAGCACAAGACTTTCAATCAGGGTTCTTTGGTTTATTAAATGCAATAAATACAGGCAGTAGTATTTACAAACACATAGTTCAGAAATGGTCATATTTTATAGCTGTACCCGATGATTTGGTTCCAGATTCAAATGTGTCACAGTTCAAAGTTCAGTAGCTTTCAGAGTTTAGGCATCCTACATTTATGATAAAATAGCCCTTATAAAATTCTCCCGAAGTCTCAATGTCAAAATACATGCACAGAAAATGTATATAAAAGTTAAAATGCAACACTGTAGGAGAACTAATCATCCTGTCCCTTCTCAAAAGCTTCAGTCCTCTCCATTTAACTAGCTCCTTTTTGCCAGATTAACAAGATCACTGCATTATCTTAACGGTGACATTCACCTCGTGTACCTGGCATCCTAACAAGTGGGACACTTTGTTACAATTTTGTTTTCTGTTCCATTTGATCCAATTAAAAAGGATAGCACACACAGAAATGCTCTCCTTCGCAGAGCTAACTGATTTTCCTACATTTTATTTAACTTTCACATGGCTGCGGGAGGAACCATCCCAAGGCAGACTTCAGTGGTTTAGGAACTCAGTTCACTATTATCATCATCACAACAATGTTAGTTTCGGCAGGAACAACCACAGCAAGGGAATGAAAGACAATGAAAATGAATGGATGACACAAAAAAACCTCAGCATAATTAAATGCAGCCAGTAACTGTTGGCTTGCTAGTGTTAATCATAAAAATACGCAAAGCAAATAATTCACATAAAGTAACATTTAAAAATTCAAACATACACAAAAAGCTGTAAAGTGTTATATATTAAAGTTTTTTTTTTAAATATATAATACTTTACTAAGGGTTCCCCGGCAAAAGGAAAATGAAACTTCAGGAACCAGCATGGGGGGAGGGGAGATGGGGTGATGGGGAGAAAACGAAGAGCGAGAAGGTGCGGAGGGGAGGGAGAAGAGGTGAAAGGAGGCCATGGGTACATGTGAGAGGGCAGAGGGGGATGGAAGGGGTGATGAGGAGGAGGATATAAGGGGAGGTGTAAGAAAAGAAAAAATAAGGGATGATGGATGGAGAGTGAGGGGTGGATGGTGGAGAAGTAAGGATGGGGTGAGAAGGGTGGATGGTGTCTTCGGAGGTTGGGGGAGGGGCAGAGAAGATGAGAGCTAAGTGGGAATGTGGAGGGTGAGGAGGGAGGGGATTGGTAGAGGTGAGGGGTTGAAGGGAGAAAGGGGTGCAAGGTGGAGGCAAGGAGGGAAAGGGAGAAGGGGCAATGTTGTGGAGGGCCGTGGATGGGAAGACTGAGGGATGGGAAGTGGAGAAATGTGAAGCACTGGTCTGAACTGGGGATCTTGGTCTAGCATAGTGTACATATTTCTTCTTTCTAAAATGGAAAGTTAGAGTTAATTTAGAACAGTTACCTTATGAATAAAGGATTGAGTAGTGCAGGCCATTACCCACGAGTTTCAAAAAAGATGTATTCTCATTGAAAAAAAGTATTATATTCCCATATCACACTCTGAGGGATGATACCATGATAGATGCTAAACTGAAGTTAACACCGTTGGGGAAATCTAGAACTAGGGAGTGTGTTTGAAACAGTGAGAGGGCTTCATGTTAAGACAGAGATGAGAAGGTTTGCTTTCCTCCTCAGAATATCATCAGACTTCAGAATTTTCTTCCAGAGTATCGGAGTCCGGGTCATAGAACACAATCTGGGTTGAGGTAGACAGTTGAGTTAGCAAGGGTTATTATAGGGTGGGGAGACAGGCCAGAAAGTAGAGTTAAGTTCACATCCAGAGCGGCCACAGTCTTACTGAATGGCAAAGTGGGCTGAATGGCCTCCTCCTGTTCCTATTTCTTTTGATATTGAAAAATTCCAGGCAGGAATTGAGTTCAAACTGAAGGGAAATGGGATACAAATTCCAAGGCACCTGTTACTTTCTGAAGAGCCACTGACAGTGTGAGAGGCCTCAGGCATGATTTCAGTAAATTTTGCCTTGAGTGGAAGTGTCATCTGCAAAAGTTGAAACTCTGAATTAAAAGGAGGAGTTCCTCAAACTGTAGCAGTGCTCCTGGACAGGAGGTAGTTGGCCACTGGGAACGGTGTTTTACAATTTAAGGCAATTCTTCATTGAGAACAGTGCTCTCAGATTGAAGCATCTCTTCACTCAGATCAGTGCTAGTGAATTTACATGATTCTTCAGTTAGCTCCTAGAGGGCGAAGAAAAGACACAAAAAAAAACACATTAAAAATGTTAGCCATCGATTTCAATTTGACTGCCCCAAGAAACCGAACCTCTCGTGGGCAGAAACATGCTAGGCTTATTTCTTCCAATCCTGTTCTCCCTTGTCCAGTCTCTTCCAACCCACATCTGTGACTCTAAGGCCCAGTGTCACGACAATAGTTTCCATTTTCCTGCTCTGACTGTTACCTTTTCCCATTAAGTGTCCGACCTCCCCACTCCTCCGTCCACCACAGTGCTTTAAAGGACAGCAATTCCTCAAACCTCAGAGTGGATTTCATTTTTCCTCATCTCTCTCTCTTTAATAGGCCAGCGCTTGTTTTTAAACGATGACCCTCCCTTTATCGCAATTCTCCCTCAAGGGGAAACATCCTTTCCCTGTCTATCGTGACAATAAGCCACAGAAGGTTAGCTTGCTGCAGCCATATGTTGTTGGGAAGGCAAGGGGATCTAAGGTCAGGAAGTGGTAACGTCTTGCTTCAGTTGTATAACAGCCTGGTTTGACGATATGTGGAGTACTGTGTGCAGTTTGGGACTCTATACTAGAGAAAGGATATTATTGCCACAGACAGGACACTGCAAAGGTTCACGAGAATTGTTCCCTGGACAGTGGAACTGTCCTATGAAGATGGATTGGACAAACTGAGCCGTAGTTTCTGGAGTTTCACAGACAGAGAGGGGGATCTCATTGAAACCTGCAAAATACTTAAGGGATAGACAGGGGGATGCAGGTAAGAGGCTACCCCAGGCTGAGGAGCCTAGAACTAGGAGGTATAATTTAAAAGTAAAGGGGGAAACCATTTACAATGAACAGGGGGAGAAATCTTTTCACTCAGAGGGTCGTGAACCTTGGGAATTCTCTACCACAGAGGGCTGTGGTAGGTCACATGTTAAATATGTGTAAAGGTAGAGATTGGTTGATAGGTTACGGATTACCAATGGTATGCAGCATTATGGGATGGGGTTCAGTAAAAGGCACCGAGTGTCTGATCAGCCACGATTGTAGCAAACAGCAGAGCAGGCTGGTCAGGATGAAGGACCTATTGCTTTTCCAATGTTCCTACATTAACTCGATCTTGTACATCTTGTCAGCAAGGAGAGATTTTTATTTTTTTTCATTGCCCATTAATTGATGGACAGAACACAACGGAGGGAAAAGAATCCCTTTCACGTGTGGGTGAAACATCACTGCTTGAAGTCGACACAATGGATGCTCTGATGAAGAGTCATCTAGACTCAAAACGTTAGCTTGCTCTCTCTCCATGGATGCTGCCTGACCCGTTGCGATTTTCAGCATTTTTTGTTTTCACCCTGGACATACTTACACATGTGCTCCACTATCCATGGAACAATCTGCATTCTCCCTGAAAATTACTCCTGCACAGCAGCAAAATAAAACAACACTTCCATTTCTGACTACGATAAGGTGTGAAGTCATCACAAAAGATCATTTACAGAAAGATTCACAGCAACAACTCTGTTTCTAAAATGTCACTTGTTTCTGTTACCAATACTTACAACTTGCTCATGCTTATCGGCGCTGTTTACACTGGGATTTTTCAGATCGATTTCTAGATCTCGTTTCACAACTGTTGATGATGGAAGTAAGAGTGATTTAGTGAAATTAGCAAAGAATTTCAATAAATAAACAATTAGGACATCGATCCACAAAACCTTTCTCAAAACAAGTTGAACTTTAGCCTTTATACTATCTTCGGATTAACAGGCTGCATGAAATTACTCTCCACTCACTTCACAATTCCTCAGCTGAAACAGCAAAGGAACTTTGCAGAAATCTGTTAAATCTCGAGCCATCATTTCAAAACCCGAGGACATTATCCTTCAGCCTCGGGTGGACTGGCAGTGTCATAATTGGCAAACAGAAATGTGCCAGACAAAAGCAAAGAAGCAAGTTTGGCAAGAGAAAAAGAAATAAAAGATGGACTAGTTACATACATAGGCAAGAAAGAAATAACCAAGAACGTCTCTGTGGCGAAAGGACCTGCCACTACATGTTCAAACTATATTGAAGACGTCCTTTATGTTATCACTTGTGCGTTAATTAATCTAATATCTGAATTCCAGGACTCTCCTGAAGTGCTGACAGTTTCAGCAGTGGAGAGAAGGACTCAACAGAGGTTGCAATGATCCAGCCAGATTCACTTCAGACAATAAATTTCATCGTCCTATATCCCAACTCAAACGTCATTAAACCAGACACTGTTCACGAGAATGAAGTCTCCCGATCACAAAGGATTATGGGTCCACTTACACAGGAATCTGTGATGCAGATACCCAGCTGACACTTGTCCAGTCTACCCATACCCAGTTTATATTACTCCAGGGTCTATCACAGTGCCAATGTGTCAACCTTCCAGGCTGGGAAATGAGAGTTTTTTTTCAGTCATTCGACAAAATTCCAGTGGCAAACACTAGAATGAAGAGCTTTGGTTAGAATTTGCTACTACAACACTTCTGACGTTAACCAGGTAATATGAGTCAGAAAAAAAAAACAAAATTGCTGGAGAAACCCAGCATGTCTGATAGCATCTGTGGAGAGAAAGCAGAGTTTGGTGACTTTTCTTCAGAACGGATGTTAGCGAAGACAAAGTGCCCTATACGCTGAATGCAGGGGCTGGGGTAGCAGAGAGAAAAGGAGTGAGTGGATAGGTAGAGGTGGAGCCCAGAGAGACAGGGAACGATGGTCAGGCAGACGGAGGGTTGGATGGTAGTGCGCCAGGGAGAAAGCCCATTCAATAACGTTAGAATCTGAACGCACCCACTTATGGTTCTCATTGTCAGCTTTTCTTTCTCCCTGGCTTTTTATCATCCATGCCTTCCTCTCCCTGACTGTCTGGGCTCCATCTCTGTCTATGCACTCATTCCTTTCGCCTCCTCACATCCCTGTCTTCAGCAAATACACCACCTTTTTCTAGCTACTATCAGTTCAGAAGAAGGGTCACTGGACTTGAAATGTTAACACTGCTTTGTCTCCGCAGATGCAGCCAGACCCGCTGAGCTTTCCCAGCAATTTCTGTTTCTGTTCCAGATTTCCAGCATCTGCATTTCTTTCTTTTATTTTCATGATTTAAGTGAATTTCACATTCCCAGCCCACAACTTCTGTTGACTCAGTAAAAAAGTTAGTGGCTGGATAGCCATGGGCTAAATATACAAAAAGGTACCCACATACACTTTCAGTGGTGGTCAGGAGTGAGGGAAGTGGAAAATCCGAGTCCTTTGCATCCATTCCAACACTTTTGATATAACCTGCATCAACTTACGTATAGTGTGAAAGATAAGAAGTGCCATCAGGAAAGCGATTGACACGTAAGAAGCAACAGTTAAGTTTGATTGTAGATTGGCTGCTGGTTCACATCCTTTGTCTGCAATATATATGATTGCAAAAAAAAAAACAAAATATGGTTAGAATTAGCACAATTTGATGCAACATATATTGTTTGGCTTTATACAGAACACAAATCATTTGAAACATTTGAATAGAAATGCTGAAATTATTATCCTTTACAGGAACAGCATTCATTGCCCAAAGCACACAAAACATGCATCATTAACCTGTTACAATGGGGAAATGGCTGAACCCCTCTAATAATTAAACCAAAACACAAGCACCAATCTGTTATGATGGGAGTACAGGTTCCCTTCTAATAATTACCTTCTAAAAAACCCAGAGAAGCTGCCTTGCCCATCGGAATCTATTAAGAGTGGTTAAAAGAAAGAAAATCCCTGATCTCCACTTTACAAGTAAGAAGAAACAATTTATTTGTTTAACCCTAACAATGAAGAAATTAACACAATTACTAACAAACTGACAATTTCCCCCCCTAGACTACTAACGACTCCCAACTGGTCTAAATTCTACTTGAATACTGTTCAAATAAACACAAGTCCCATTTATATAAACCCAATTAATAAGAGAACAATAAATTAAAACTTAATCTGTCCGAGTTCACACAGATTATGCCTTCTGTCGATCTCACATCACAAATGTCTTTCTGCTGCTGATTCTGCCGTCTTGGATGTTTTTCTCTTATTTCTTTGGCGAGGACATTGAGCCAAAATGCCGTGGGACCTTTGATGTGGCTTTTTAAGAGAGTTTAATAATTTTTTGTGAAAACCAGGTTTATGTCTCAGATAGCTGACTTGCTTTTGCTGCAGATTGCAGGTGGCTCTTTCTCGATTTTCCAAATGCCCTCATCTGTATACCCGTGATGACAGAACAGTATTTCTTCAGTCGAATTGGTTCAATGTTGTCAACACCACCAGTTTTTAAAATCAATTGGCTTTGAATCGCTGAATGCTTGTTTTAAATTAACTGGCCAAATTCAAACATGTTTTGACAACAAGACTGCTTTTTTAATGTACTTTTCACTTTTTGAGCCTCTCTGTATTGTGTGTGCAACTTCCAAGTGCAGACAAAGCACAATTTTTTTGTTAAAGGAACCAAGCACTCTTTACCAACACTATAATTTTTTTAACCAACCATTCTAACTTCCTGCCTTCCAATTCATGAATACTCTACCCAACTTCGTAACAAACCTGATGCTAAAACAGAAAATAGGTTAATTCTGTTGGAAACAAATTCACTTGGATCACTGATTGCATAGAAATAAATAACAAATATTCACAGTTATTTTCATTTTTGGATAAAATAGTTTTCTCCATTCAATTCCCTTCCCAACATGAGCTGGAAAGATTGAAATGCCAACTTGCTCCCCAATGGAACTGACCAGACTGGCCCAGAATCAACAGAGCACTGTGCTTTCCTCCTGAATAAAACACCAGCTCTCGAAAAGGGCCTCTATACTTAAAAGTATTCTACACTGCCGATCCCAATTTTCCTGGTTACGCTAAATGATCCACATAAGAGGCTGCAGGAGTTGAAATGAGAAGTCCTGGGTCTCCTCTGAATTTAGTTTAGGGACTCCAGAATTGTAGTCCCTGTCTCTCTTGAAATGAAAACACTGACAATAGACTCAACAATGGCTTTTAAAACAATGTCAAATTTTGATAAAGGAACTCATAAGACATCATCGTTTCCAACAAGAGGAGAGAATGTCGAACATGCCATCTTATCATATACATACAGGATACAATTTGTACAATTTAATTTAAATGAGGTAGCATTTGAGAGAGAAATGAAAATGTTAGGTTATGTTAGAGGAGTTAAATAGGAAAGGAAGAAGAGAATGTTTGAGTAGATCATTAATGTTGATGGAGACTGGTTAGGCCAAATGGTCTTTTTCTCTGCTGTGTATTTTTATGTAGCTCTTAGATTCTACAATTTTAGAGCTTAATTATACAATTGTGAGTTCATTAAGATGTTAGTTTGGAAGAGATATCCATTCACATATAGAACACTTCACTATATAGGGAGTAGCTGCAATGGGAACTATTGGATTTAAGAGGAGAAAACTGGATAAATATTGGGAGGTAATACAGGGCTAGGAGGAGACTGCAGAACAGTGCGGCTAGATTTGTAATGGTTGAGTAAAGAGGTAGTACAGACACCGTGGACCTCATAGCCTCCTTCTACACTGGAAAGGTGAAACAATTAATCGTATTCATTGGGAACGGTCTGAAACAACTCAGCAATTACGCTACCTAATCGCATAATTTCTGACGGGATGTTACTTTCAGAACAGATGTGTTAGCTATCATTTTAAGCATTTCAAACTCCCCACCTGGATAGGTTATTCCTGCAATCAAAGATGTCGACAGACATATCACAGCGATTTCACCTGATGTGGATAGCACAGCCCCGACCATCAAAACGTAAGCTGGCAATAAATAGATCGGAATTACTGATTACATACTTAGCTGACACAGATGCACACAAATGCTGATCTGTTCGTCTCTTGCTGTGCATCTGGTGAATGCAACTGGTCAAAAAAAAGTACAGAGAAACTTTTCCTAATCCTGTGCTCGGGATTATTGGATCGAATGAAAACACATAGGTTGGGAAGGGAAAAGCACATGTCTTTACAATCTGCTGAATATTTTATCCATTTAAAGATTAACAGATTAAAAAGTGGAGGCTGTTTGCATCTTCCTATAAAAGGTGGAAATCCAAAACAATCACAAAAAATGCTGGTCTGGCAGCATCTGTGGAGAGAGAAACAGAGATAACATTTTGAGTTGGGTATCACTCTTCCTCAGACCAGAGGAAGAGTTATACCAGACCATAAGAAATAGGAGTAGGCCATTCAGCCCTTCGAGCCTGCTCCATCCTTCAACAGATTCATGGCTGACCACATTCCTGCCCTTCCCCATAACCCTTCATTCCACTATTGATCAAGAATCTATCTCAGCCTTAAATAAAAGGCAAGGACTCTGCTTCCTCAGCTCTGTGTGGAAAGGAGTTCCAAAGGTCTGCTGAGCTTCTCCAGCATTTTGTGTGTGTGTGCATCTTTCTGTCAGATTCCCCTGTGTAGCAGTCCCAGCAGTAGGACCGTCTACCGCACTATCCTCCCTTATGAAGGTTGTGGTCCCTCTGCAGGTTCAATCTGTGGCTCAATTAATACCAGTCTCACTTTCAAAGTCAGGGGATATGGGGTTCTACCTCACTCCTTACACTTGAGCACATAACATTTCAGTGTAACTCCAAGGGTGTGAGGCACTGTCAAGAGGTGCAGAGGTTTGAATTTCATGTAAAACCAAAGTTTTCTTTTATTGCCCTCAGATTAATCAGTGACTTGACTTCAAAAACACAATCAGTAAATACTGGGTTACTCAGAATTGGGTCCATGTGAACTGAGAGGTGAACTCTCCACTGGTTGGAATCGTGCTGACACAAAAGAAGACAATTCCAATTGTTAGAACAAAGAACAATACAGTACATGAACAGGCCCTTTGGCCCACCAAACCTGTGCAGACACAGTATGCCTTTCTGAACAAAAAGGCTTTTGCCTCCACCCTGTCCACATCCCACATCCAACATTACTGTTGTATCTGCATTTAAGAACTCCTCTGCCAGCACATTCTAGTCTCTTATCATCCTCTGTCGAAAAAAAAACCTGCCTCTCACATCACCTTTAAACTTACCCTCTTTTAAATTACACCTACCTCCCCTAGTAACTGAGTTTCTACCCTGTGAGAAAGATTCCAGCTATTCTTGCCTCTCATAAGTTTATAAATTTCTATGAGGTCACCCCTCGTCCTTCAATGTTCAGTGAAAACAAACCAAGTTTGTCCAATCTCTCCTCCTGGCTAATACCCTCCAAACTATGCAATCTCCTGGTAAACTGTCTCTATACCCTCTCCAAAGCCTCCATTTCCTTCTGGTGGTATGGTAACTAGAACTGTACATAATATTCCAAATGTGGCTGAACTAAAATTCTATACAGCTACAACATGATTTGCCAATTTTTATACTCTATGCCCCGAGCGATGAAGGCGAGCATGTGATATGCTGACTTGATCATGGTCGATGGTCAGTCACCTCAGCTCCAGTTCACTACTGTATAAATTCCTCAGGTTAGTGCCCTGGGCACAGCCATTGCAGCTGACTCATAAACGACAGAGGGAGGATGGTTTGCTAATGATTGCTCAATGTTTACTTCTAAAGCCTCAGGTACCGAAGCAATCTGTGCAGTGCATGTGGCAAGAGATGGACAACATTCAGACACCGAAAAGTGAAACGTAACATTGACTTCACATAAATGCCAAGCAGTGACTGTCTCCAACAATCATTGAAACTTGATGTTAATGGCATTACCATCACTGAATGCCACGCATCAATGTCCTGTGATGTTGCTTTCACTGCTCCAGAAAGGCTGAAAATGGCAATGGGTTTTCTTGAATCAAAGTGATAGCAAGGACGGTGTATCTCTTTGGGATCTACAATTGGATCCACTACAGTTAGATACTAACCAACCTCTTGCAATTTTCTCCAACCAATTCCTAAAATTCACCAGAAATGCAACAAATCTAAATTTCAATCACTCCCTCAAACAAGTTTCCTGATCACTCGCTCAATTTACAGCCCTAAGAGAAGCACAATCTCACCACCCCAGTATTTGATCATGAGCCTTTCGGCAGCACAGTGTAAGTACATAATGTACTGCTGAATTTATTTCTGATCTTCGAGGTCTCCATGGAATTTATCACATCACAAGCCATCAATGTCAACAACACAGTTGGGATTAGCAGCAGACACAGGGCCACCAACACGATCACTATGATTGTTGCAGCTTCTATTGAGTAGACAAAAACCGAATACAATTACACACATTCATAGAATAAAGAACAAATACCACCGCTGGTTAATTCACCATCTCTCAGTATATAAAAGAATATCCATCATATAATGAACGGGGCTTTTACAATCACATTGAGGGGAATGCAGGAGGCTTAATATTTGGGCTTTCAGGATGGGATTATTGCATCAGGAACTTAATTACAGCTGACTTTAAGGTCTTTGGAAGCACGCTGAAGGATCAATTGGATTGTTCCAAAATCAGGTGAACAAATTGGGCATTTACAATAAAACAGATTTTAAAAAAAATGCCTGTCCTCAAATTTCGCAGATTTATTGAATTTAAATTGACAATTTGGCAAAGTGATGTTAGCACTCTTTGCCCAATTACATCTTAAACTTGACTTTAATTTGTCAGATACACTGTATTGTAGAAATACAATTAAGGGCAAAGAAACAGGAGCACAGTACCTTCAATTACAATCCAATACACAAACAGTGCGATAAGAAGTACCAACGCCAAGATTTGTAATCCATGTTTGAGAAACTGGAGATCTAGAGTAATAAGTGCATTCATATCAATATTACTTAAGAAAATAATATTCACATTCAAATCAATCACTCCATACAATGGAACAGAATTTAAAATAACACAGGCAATATTTACTAGTTTAACATTGTTTCCATTGTTAATATATGATATTTTTAAATTTTTGACACCAAACCCTAGAAATAATTTGCTCTTACATCTTTCAGCCTTGAAGCATGAAATTATTGTGCAGGTAAAGGCAGAAGCAGCAGTAACCAGCGAAGGAATGGATAATGGTAATGCGCAATCACGAATTTGTGACAGATCTGAAATAGAGAACTTATGTTAAACTTATGACATTTTCAAAGCTGTCTACAAAGTGTCTGCTTTTTCTTAAAAATGCAGTTTGCAAGAGAGTCTGGAGTGCTCAAAATAGGACATTTTGCACTTAGCATCCAATGCAATATTTGATTATCTCCCTCTCCCCTCACTAACTCTTTCAAGATGAGCTACAATACACTTACAGGCAGTGTGACACATTCTCAGCTCTGTATCAACAATGTATCTCAACTGCAAGACCAGAAGCATATCATACATAACCAGTGTTCTGTTTCCTACAGTTTGTTGTCTGTCTGAAAGACACTGAACTTAGCTGAGATTTTCCTGGTAAATGTTGTGACTGTACCTGAGGAAATTGGACAATATCAGTTTGTGCTAGCCACCCTATGTCTTTCTGCTACCATGAAAGTGTGCAATGTTAAGTTTTCAGATTAACATCTTGTGTCAGGGCTGAGGGCAAGTGAAACAAAAACAGAAATTGCTGGAGAAACTCAGCAGGTCGGGTGGCATCTTTGGAGAGAAAATGGAGTTAATGTTTCGAGTCCAGTGACTGTTCCTCAGAGCTTCAGGTCACTGGACTCAAAACGTTTCTCTCCGCAGATGCAGACCTGCTGAGTTTCTCCAGCAATTTCTGTTTTTGTTTCAGATCTCCAGCAACTGCCACTCTTTGTTTTATTTTTGAGTGCAATGGAGTTGACTGATGGTTTGACTCACCAGAAATAGTCAGAGAACATGAACTGTTTTTTTCCGACACATGACACCTTTCTAAACCGAAGAAAATCCTTTGGCTTCTCTGTGTTTTGTATCCCTCGATTCCCTGCCTATTCATACATCAATGCAGATCCCTGCTAAATGTTGCTATTGAATCTGTTTCTACTACTCCTTCTCTGGCAGCGCATTCCAGGCACTTACCACCCTCTATGTAAAATACTTGCCTGTTACATCGCCTTTAAACTTTCTCGCTTTTACCTTAAACCAATGCCACCGATTATCTGACATTGCTAAACTGGGAGAAAGACTATCCATTCTATCCATCCCTTTCAAAGTTTTGTAAACTTCCAATCAGGTCACCCATCAGCCTCCGACATTCAAGTAAAAACAAACCAAGTTTGTCCAACCTTTCCTCATAGCCAATACCTTCATTTAGGAGGATGCTGCGATCAAACCCGAAAAGACCTTCCGCTAACCATGCAGATTCAGTAACGTATTCCATGAATTTCAGTGCTGGCATGACACCAAGTACGTAGGCTAAACATCCAACCCATTTTAAACAGCCAACCCTTCAGCTATCCATGACAGGCAGAGTACTGGTAGTGCTCAAAAAGCCCAAACTCAGAAATTGCAGAACGTAGTTTCCCAGTTTGATCTGACTCCACACTTGAGCAGCACTTAGTAAAATATCCAGAGGGTGCCAAGAATCACTCAATAACCAACTGAAGATCATCAATCAGCTTGCAAAGTGACTCACTTACATATACCAGAGGCTCCTTACGTGAAGGGCTCAGTCCCCTGCAGCTAAAGGCGCTTTGTCCAGGTGCTACACCCTTTAATTTAAACTAAAGCTTGGAAGACACATTTACTTAACACGTTGGTGAATTTAAGTTGACTCACCCTAATTGAATTTAAAGTTAAAGCTTCGGTAAAGTGTTTCTTGTCCATTCTTGATGACAAAGACTTGGCCATCAGGTACAATTGCCAACCAGTCAGCACCCTGTTTCTCACATAATAAATATTGTTTGGTATTCTTCCATTTCTCCTGATGAGTGCAAGGTGAAAAACTTTGGCAACATGCATTTTTTTTCAATAACGAGCACAATCTGTACTACCAAGCAACTGTAGCAAAATATGACTTAGGGCAATCAATTTACATTGCATGGAATACTTGGAAATTGTAACATTGTAAAACCAGTTGTCTCTCCCTTCAAGCATGGTCTCTGTCTCAAACATTCCTTGCAATAAAATGTCTCAACAACACCGAGTAAAGGAATTTCTCCTAACCATGCTCCTACTCTTGAAATTACACGCAAAACATAACTGTTCACTGTACCTAGGTACATGTGACAATCATAAATCAAATCAAAACAAAAACTCCGAATTAACGGTCCCTTCTCAGATGGCCCAACAATGCAGTCTTTATTTCTTCACTCTATTAAAATGCTTTATGCTTTGTTTAAAATATTTATATTAATGTTGATCTAAGCATTCTCGCCCGCATTGTTGATGTGTGCAGACCACTTTCGAAAACCTACCAGCAGCAGAAAGAGATTGCAAACTTCACCTCCAAAGGGTCATCCATAAACCAAAGCTTACCATTAATAGATAACGTATAATGAGCTTGGACAGAGCTGACAGGATTGATTGCAATGCAAATATACGTGCCACGGTCATCTTTCCCAGCATTCAGAATGATGAGGCTTCTGTTTTCTTCTACTAGTTGGTGATGTTGAGAGATGTTCCCTCCATCTTTCAGCCATTGATACTCATGAGGATGTCCAGAAACATTACAGGTCAGCATGATGGCAGAATGGGGGAAGCTGCAGCTGCTTAATATCAAAAGATTTGACAGCTTATCTGAAAGAGAGAAATACTGATTAAAGAATTGCACTAACCCTATCCTTCACAATGCTAGCAAAATGTGTTCAAAAGAAAGGACATGTATTTATTTTAAGGGACAGTTGCGTAAAGAACATAGTGGTGAATTTGTTTGTCATTTTATCTAAGTCAGAAACACGATGAATGGTCTGATGATGCAGTTTTAAAGCACTTAAAAGAATGTTCATCAGGACAGCAGTACAATTTTATCAGAGGTAGTAAGAACTGCCGATGCTGGAGTCAGCGAGTGGAGCTGGAGGAACACAGCGGGCCAGGCAGCATCAGAGCAGCAGGAAAGTTGACGGGTCAGGACGTTTCTTCCTAATGTTTTCCTCTCAAAAGTGGAGATTCTTAGTTTCCTCCCAAACCACTGAAGTTGGCAGCTGGGGCCATGCTCTAAAGAGCGTCATCAGAAAAATGGCTGCTTCGATAAGACTGCACTCCTTCAGCAATGTACTGCTGGGTCACTACAGTAGGTCTTGCAAGAGTCAGATTTGACTTGAAATATCAATTTTGTGTCTTCACAGATGCTGCCAGACCTTGTGAGCATTCCAGCACTTTCCATTTTTATTTTGGATTAATGTAGTTTGCCAGTAATGCTTTTACTTGCCAATTTAACAAGAGCATTAACCCATTCTGTTTTGAAGGACCAAATTAATTAACAAATTGGTTTCTGTTGTCTCATTAAGTGTCGTCAAAGGTTCCAGACTGGCACACAAATGTACTGTCTCTCATAGCTAAAGGATGATATTGCAATATCTTTATGCATATGGCAGTTACTAGAACCAAAGTGCTTTTTCTCTTCATTCGCCAAATGTGTATGTCGCTGGCTGGGCCAACATTTATTATCTGTCCCTAGTTGCCCTTGAGAAGGTGATGGTGAGCTTCCTTCTTCACCTTTAATATTAACAGAATCCATTTATTGATAGTGATAGCAGAGTGACTCATTAAAATGGGGAGGTAGTGGCCCAGTGGTATTGTAACTAGCCATGCAGATACCAAGGTAATGTCCTAGGGACCCAGGTTTGAATCCTGCCATGATGGACGGTGGAATTTTATTACAGTTATCAAGTATGGAGGTGGAAGAAAGTGCAAGAGAGATCTGCCTGTGCATTGGAGGATCAGGGGACAACAGTACTATTCCCATACCCCATATCATCCACTGAATTGAAAGCTGGTGAAAGGTTCACGTAAGAGCTCATTAATTGGTTAGTTAAGAACTAAATTAGTCTGCAAGTAAATGGGCTTCCTGACCACCACCAAAGTACGCACAGGGGCAGGTAGATGGCTGGCAGGATGCCTGGCATAAGTTTCACACCCCACCCATCCCCCTCCTGCAGCTCAGGTTTCAGGTTGACAAACTAATGAATGGATTGTCTCAGGGATTGGTTCTGGCACCTCAGCTACTCGCCAACTGGATTAATGACTCAGATGAAAGGGTAAACTGTATTGCAGCGAAATTTGTTGACAATGCAAAGGGTAGAAAGAGTCCGCAAATGGATACAGATGGGTTGTCAGTTGGCAATTATATGACTGTATGCCTCGGCAGGAAGAACTGAAGATGAAGAGCAGATATTGTTTAAAAGGAGAAAGACTGCAGAAAGCTGCAGTACAGAGAGATCTGGATGTCCCTGTACGTGAATCATAAAAAGTTAGCAGATAATTTATGACATAAAACCAGATGGAAACAGGAGTTGTGAGGAGGAAACAAAGAGGTTTCAGGAGAGTTGGACAGGCTGAGTAAATGGGCAAACGCATGGATGTTTGGAGAAGTGTTTTTGTAGATATTTAGTCTGACTTCCTACAGTGATGTCATAGTCATTAAATCGACCGCATGAAGCAGTGGATAAATGTGAGTGCATCCACTTTGGTGGGAAGAACAGAGGTGTAGAGTATTTTCTAGACAGTGAGAGATTTAAAAGTGTTAATGTTCAAATAGACCAGGTATCCTTGTCAGTAAGTCACTGAAAGCTAACATGAAGCTGTAGCAAGCGTATAGGAAAGTGAATGATTTGTTGCCCTTTATCACAACAGGCTGTGTGTACAGGAGTAAACTAAAATTGTATAGTGCCTCGTGAGACCATGCCTGGGTTGTATACAGTTCTGACCCCACATAACTAAGGAAGGATGTACTTTCCTTTGCGGCCCAGTGCAGTGAAGGTTCATTTAATGACTTCCTGGGATGGTGGGATCGTCCTATTAGGAGAGACTGAAGAGACTGGCCTTACTTCCCTGGAATTTAGAAGAATGAGAGGCGATCACAATGAAACTTAACAAAATTCTTAAAGGCAATATAGTGGCATCTTATAGTGGATGCAGGAAAGATGTTTCCTGTCTGAGGTATGCAACCAGGGGACACAGTCTCAGAATAAGGGACAGGTTATGTAGGTACATCTATGGTGTATTTTCCCATAGCACAGATCATTGCTGCTTAAATCCATGAGACAAGCATATCTATTATCCATAGCTGAACATTTTGAATGATGATGTCACGTAGATTGATGGAAAGTGTATAAAGACCCTCATCTGAAGAAGTTAAATGATGAAGGATGAATGATCCATTGGTTGGGAAGAATTCAAGGCGACCTGTGTACTTATTTAATACTGAAGGTTCTGTAGCCCCAACGTGAAACAGTAGCACTCCCGTACCGAGCCCATTCGTTGTACCTCCATTGGACACTTTCCACTGGTAAAATTCTGCTGTGCTCCGTTCATACTCATCAACCCCAGGGAAGAACATAGAGCTTCCAGGAGCACAGTAAGATTCCATTTTGACGGTGCCTATGAGCAATAATAGAAACAGTGATTGTTGCATACAAAGTGTAGAGTGAGAGTTTGGCGCTGTTTCATGTGCTGAGATTGGACCTGTGAATCATCACCACTTTTACTGTCAATAACACAGCCACTGAATTCTACGGTGCAAAGGCACAGGTCAACGTGGCTTGTTTTGACATTACTGCGTGTATACTCTCCACCATTTCCAAATGCCACTGTGAAAAATCCCTAGGGCACACTTTGCCGGTGTTGAATCGCTGAAAGGGAGGTGCCTCACAAGCAGCAGAAAGGTCTGGGGTGAAGCCAACAATTCACCATCAGATACTGTTAGCGGACAGAAGATTACAGATAATTCACTGGTGGTTTTCTGCAGCACATGAACCCCAACCACATGAATTAGAACGGAGGTTAATCACCAAAGCTTGTATTTAAATTTGACTCTTTCTCAGAGTTTATTTACACTAAGTTTAATCCTGGTCTGAACAGACCTCAACTTTGAAGAGAACAAATAGGAAAGACTTGCATTTAAGCAGGACTTGCAAACGAACAAATATTTTGAAGTGTAGTCATTATTGATATATAAGAAATACAGCAGCTAACTTGTACAAAGAAAGGTCTCACAAACAGTAGCTTGATAATTACTGGATAAGCTGTTTCACGATGTTAGTTCTAGGATTATTATTGGTCAGGAGATCATGGAAAACTTTCATGTTTCTTCAAAATACTGTCCATAGAATCCTTTGCATTCGCCTGACAGGACAGGCAGGGGCTTGGTTTAACATCTCATACGAAGGAAGAAGTCAAGAAAGAAACTGTGTCCTATTCGCTCATTGTCCCCAGCACTCATAAGCCAAAAGCTGTCCTCCTTTTCTAGGGAAGTTGGTTCACTACCTCACTGTCTGTGCTCCTCATCAGCTGTCACTATAAGTGATGCATTTTAACACATGACTTCACGCGGATTAACACAGAGCTACATCACAGGAGTTGTTCTACAACGGAATTTACTTTCACCGCGCTTTCTGCATTCCCGAAAGGAACAACTCACTGCAGCAGTAAATGTCTCCTCTTCTCCCTGACAATTCATTTTTGCCAAATATCCCAATGGAAACAGAGTCTTCTTATCAACTATGTCAAAACCCTTTTAATGCCTCTAATAAATCTCTCCTTAACTTTCTCTACTCTAAGGATGACAAAGCCAGTTCCTCCAGATTCTCCATAAAACTGAAGTCCCTCAATCCTGGCACCATTCGCTCCATCTCTCTCCACATTCCAGACATGCCTCCTGATGTGTGGTGCCCTGAACTGGATACAACATGCCAACTAAAGCCTATGTGATTTACAGAGGTTCACCTTAATATCTTTAGCTCTGTAGTCAAAAATGACTAATGTCTCATTGTTACAATGACTGTTGACTGTTACTTTGTCAGTGGGACTCTACTTTACCAAAGTTAGTCTTTCCTCAGTTTACAGATTTCAGTCAAACAGCGCTTTAGTTCCTGATGGTGCCAATACAAAGCTGTTCCCCTTAAACCTCTACCCGCCCCACCCCAGTACAAACGGCTTATCAACCACCCTGTGCCGCATATCGGGCATTTCTGCTGGGGTGCTGGCTCTCATGGAGGGTTCAGTTGGTTACTGCCTCTGGCATAAGTACCTGAGGATGGTCTTGCGTGCTCATAATCACAATGTCTTGCAAGGTGTGCTGGACAGGGAGTGATACTGACACAATCTCTTGCAGGAAGATATCACTCATAGTCACATGGATAGACACCTCACTCAGAAGCAGCATCGGCAGAAATTTCAACATACTTATCGCACACTCAGTTTGAGGCAAGTGTGAAGACATTTCCCAGAAAATAGTTAGCTATGTTAAAAACAATACATTTTTCAGTTACAATTCAGGAGTATGATTAAATAGTCTCCACTTGGCCACATAAGTGCATTTCCAAATGAGTGCAAATCCAACAAAACTCAAGAAGCTCAACGTCATCCTGGACAAAGCAGCTCACTTGATTGGCACCTCATCCACCATCTTTCATATTCACTCCCTTAACCACTGTTGCTCAGAGGCAGCAGTGTGTATCAACGACATGCTCACTGCAGTAACACCAGGCGTCCTTGCCTGTAGCTTCCAAACCCACAATAACTACCATCTAGAAGGACAAGGATGGCAGATAGATGGGAACACCAACCCCTGCAAGTTCCCCTCCAAGCCATCACCATCCTGACTTGGAAATATATTGCTGTTCCTTCAGTGTGGCTGGGTCAAAATCCTGGAACTCCCTCCCTTGCAACATTGTGGGAACTACCTGCAGTGGTTCAACAAGGAAATTGATTTGGACCTTCTCTAGGGCAATTAGGAATGGGCTCTAAATATGGCCTTGAACCTAGCATCCATATTCTGTGAGTTAATTTGTAACATACATTTTACATTGTAGAGACACACCATCTCAGTACAAAAAGAAATATTTGTAATGGAATTGTGGAACTCTAAGTAACCCATACAATGAGGAAAAAATTATTTTAGCTTAGAGTCAGGACTCACCACTGGTAATTTGGATGCAGTAACTCAGTAGAATAAACAGCTGAAGTAAGTTGAACGCACATTTTGTCGAGCAGAGGTATTCATTGAGGATCCTCATGGTTCAGTGACTGGCAGATCTGTTTGCTGTATGTAACATTAGAAATTAGACCATGTTAGAGACTCTGGGAAGGTGTTAAAAAGAAATATCTTGCACTTAAAGCTGTTTGCAACTTCAGGACTTTACAGGCAAAGAAGTACTTTTGAAATAAAGTCACTGTTGTAATGCAAAGAAATGAGGCAACTGATTTTCACACATCAAGGTCCCATGACCAACAACGTTTTACTTATAGAATGCTATTAAATAGAATAAACGTACTTCATATGAACATTCTGAAGCTAATGACACCATGCCACATATTAGGGTTGATAGACAAAAGCTTAGGTAATGAAACTGGCTGTAAAAGAGTGCATAAATGGAGGAAAATGAGATACAGGGAGGATAACTTATTGACACATGCAAGAAAACCTAACAGAGTGAATTCTGAAGGGATGTGTTCCCTTGTTGGAGAGACTAGAACTGGGTGTGCAGGTCAACAACAAGAGGTCTTCTATTTGAAATCTTGTATCAGAATTCTATTGATTAAAACTAGGCAATCAATTTCACTTTCAAATGTTAATCGTCCCTAACCAGAGTGTAGACAAGATCCACAAAAAACCACACTATCTCCTAAGACACTGGATCTCTCATTAGAGACATGGAGCATAGGAACAGGAGTTGGCCATAGAAGTTGCTCCTATATTCAATTAGATCATGGCTGATCACCTGCCTCAAAGCACTTTCCTGTACTATCTCCACAGCCCTCAACGACTTAGTCTCCAGAAATTTACTTCTGTCTGGAACATGCTTCACAACCCATGAAATTCCTTAGTCAAGTAACGACCTTTCGACACTGTTGACAAATCAGCATCAAGAACATTACCATGTGCTAACCTGTTACATACACAACAGTCTAACCAATCAGCAGTAATATCCCACCAACAAGTCCCATTCTCCACCATGATCTGTTCCGTCATTGGCCTGCCTGCAGATGGGCACAGTGTCGAACCTGGAATATTAAGGACTATCAATTATTCCGAGGACTCTTCTAAGATCATAACCGCACTTTTCAGAGCAAATTATAGTTGGTGAAACTGTCAGCTTATCTTCCTGAATATTACTACTCTCACCATCAAAACCTTCAGAGAATTTTGATACAATGTCTTTGGAAAATCAAGGTCTAATACATTTGTCTGTAATTTTTATTGTGCAGTCAGGGCTTTCATTGGTAAAACTAATCCATAGGCTGGGAACTGCAGAATTACAGGCACTGAGGACGGTTCTGAGGAAGGGTCACTGGACCCGAAACGTTAACTCTGCTTTCTCCTCCACAGATGCTGCCAGACCTGCTGAGCTTTTCCAGCAACTTTGTTTTTGTTCCTGATTTACAGCATCCGCAGTTCTTTTGTGTTTTTTTTGAATTATAGGCACACCTGGAACCCATTTAGTTGCCTTGCCTCTGACTTAAAGGTTTTTAAGTTTATGTTCCACTCCCAGGACGTGACACAAAATCAAGTTTCCCATTTGATGCAGCATTGATGAATTAGTAGAGGTACCATGAGACCGTAAACTGTGGCCTGTCTTCCCTCTGACTAGGACGTAAAAATCCGATGATACTTTCAAAGAAGAGGGGAATTTTTTTTGGCTATATTAATCCCACCAGTGTCATCAAAATGTTTGAGCATTACTGTGTTCATATTAGCTACAGCACTTCCTATATTACACCAGTGACTTTAATTCAGAAGTACTTTGATGTTATAAAGTGTTTTAAGCATCATAAGCTCATAGCAAGTGCAATAATAAATGCAATTTATAGGTCCAGCTTGTAGCCACTCCACCATTAGCATCCAGTCAAGAGATCAACCCTGATTCAATGAAGAGTACAAGAGGGTATGCCAGGAGCAGATCATGGAAAACTTAAAAAAAAGAGATATCAACCTGGTGAAGCTACAACACAGGGCTTGCCAAACTACAGAAACAATATATGATGGACAGAGCAAAATGATTCCACAACCAACAGATCAGATCTGAGCTCTGCAGTCCTAAAACGCTGAGTCTGATTGGTTGTGGACAATTGAACAACTAAGAGGAGGAGGAAAATTCACAAATATGCCCATCCTCAAAGATGTGAAAGTCTAATATGAATTTTTTTTATTCATTCACGGGATGAGGGTGTCACTGGCCAGGCAGCATTTATTGCCCATCCCTAATTGCCCAGAGGGCAGTTATGAGCCAACCACATTGCTGTGGCCCTGGACTCACATGTAGGCCAGACCAGGTAAGGATGGCAGTTTCCTTCCCTAGAGGACATTAGTGAACCAGATGGGTCTTTTCCGACAATCGGCAATGGATTCATGGTCATCATTGACTCTTAATTCCAGATACTTATTGAATTCAAACTCCACCATCTGCCATGGTGGGATTCAAACCCAGGTCCCCAGAACATCACCTGGGTCTCTGGATTAACAGTCCAGCGATAATACCACTAGGCCATTTATAGGCCATGAATACCAACAACAGGGCGAAATATTTCCAAATCAGCTTCAGCCGGAAATACAGAGTCAATGATCTATCTTGGCCTCCCCAAAAGTTCTCCAGCATCACAGTTGCTAGCCTTCAGCCAATTCAATTCACTCCACATGATATCAAGAAGCAGTTGAAAGCACTCAATATTATAAAGGCTTTGGAGCCTGACAACATTCTGATAAGAATACTGAAAACCTGGGCTCAGAACTAGCTACACCCCGAATCAAACTATTCCAGAACAGCTACCACACCGGGCATCTACCTAACAACATTGCTCAGATATGTCCTGTACACAAAAAGCAGGACAAATCCAATTCGGCCAACTACAGTCTTATCAATGGAAACATGGCAGATAAAATTTAACATCGAAATGTGACGTGATACATTTTGGTAAATGAAATGATATGAAGCAATATGAACCGACTGACAGAAACATAAACAATTGACCCTTCACTTCATCAGAACAGCAGAGCTGGGGTGTTCATTAATGTGGATACAATGTTCTGAACCATTCATAGGCTCATTGGGGTGGCACGGTGGCTCAGTGGGCAGCACTGCTGCCTCATAGCACCAGGGAACCAGGTTCAATTCCACCCTCGGATGACTGTGTGGAGTTTGCACGTTCTCCCCGTGTCTGCGTGGGTTTCCTCCGGGCGCTCTGATTTCCACCCACAGTCCAAAGATGTGCAGGCTTGGTGGATTGGAATGTTAAATTGCCTGTAGTGTTCAGGGATGTGTAGATTAGGTGGGTTATAGGGGGATAGGTCTGGGTGGGATGCTCCTAGGGTCGGTGTGGACTTGTTGGGCCGAAGGGTCTGTTTCCACACTGCAGGTATTCTATGGTCAATGAGCTATGATCATTCATGGCTCCTCAGACACTGAAGGAGTTCATGTCCACATGCAGCAAGATTTGCAAAACATCCAGACTTGGGTTGGCAAGTAGCAAGTAATATTCATGCCAAGCAACAATAATTTCCAACAGGAGAGAATCTAACCACTATCTATTGACATTTAATGGCATCAACATCCACGAATCCTCAACTATCAATATCCTTACAGTTATCACTGATCAGAAACCAAACTGAACCAACGTTATGTGCTTTAAGGCCATGAAAGTAGTTCAAAGGCTAAGAATTCTACTAACTCACCCACTGTCTCCCCACTGTTTATCTGTCCAACATCTACAGGGCACAAGTCAGGGAAATGATCAAAGGCGCTCCTGGATGGGTGCAGCCACAACACTCCAGAAGCTTGACGCTATCCAAGACAAAGCAGTCTGCCTGTTTGGCACCACACCCACCCTCTTTAATATTCAATCCCTGCACCATCAATGCACAGTCGCAGCAGTGTGTACCATGGATAAGATGGACCACAGTAATTCACCAAGGTTCCTTCGACAGCACAATCCAAACTCGTGTCTTCTAACAACTGTAAGGATAATGGTGGCAGAAATATAGGACCATTACCACCTCAAAATTGCCCTCTAAGTCACACCTCATCCTGACTTGCCTATATCCCAGAATGAATGAAAAATCAAACAAATATTTGAAGACGGCTATTCAAAAAATATGCTTCATTACAAAAGCAATAGTACACGAATATTCTTGTAAGGAAGTTGTGCTAAACTTTACGAAAAATTGGGCATCAGCTGAAATATTCTGTTGGATACCAGGCACCGCACTTTAAGTAGGGTGTCACAGTCATGGCGAGGTGCAGAAATAATTTATTGACATTGTGCCAGGGATGAGGGGCTTTATTTATATGGATAGACTGGGGGAACTGGTAGCAGAGGAAGTCAAGTGCAATTTGATAGAGGTGTTTCAAATCCTGAATAGTCTTATACAGTAAACACACAGTAAAATATTCTATGACCAGAAGGATTGGGAACACAAGGGCATTGATGCAAGGTCAGCGTGGAAAGAACTTGTAGCAAAAATGAGAAAACAAAATGTTATTAAATGTGTCACTATATTCTGTGCCACAGCCTGAGTGACTGTGGAAACAGATTCAACCGGAAGTTTCAAAAGAGAACTGAATAATCACTTGGAAGAATAAATAAATACCAGGGTATGCAGGCGAGCGGGAACAATGAGGTAAATCTGCCAATGTTGGTACAGGTAGGATGGGCTGACGACATCCATTCAAAGCTGTTTCACTCTATTATTTTAGGATACTTTGTGACAAACATCTTGTCCTCAACTTCCATGTTTAGTCCATCCTTAGCACCATTCCCAGCAGGAGAAGCTATTTTCTACCAGCTGGATCAATTCTCCGAATTTGCTCAGTTTCTCAAGCAGAACTTACAGATTCCCAAGTCTAACTTATCGTTCACCCTGACCCCCAACTCGGGCAGAAGGTTCGGAAAATCCTTCACATGTGAACTTGATTTTTGAATGAATAGTTGGAGCTCATCTATTGCAGTGGTCATTCAGACTGCTAGAGTGTGATATTAGCAATGCCAAGGACATGGGTTCAGTTGCTGTACTGGCCTATGGTGCTGGCTTCCACTCCAGACTGTAATTCCAGCATCTTGTGCCACGGTGTTAGTGTCCCTGCCTCTGGTCCTGAAGGTCTAGGATCAAGCCCTACCTGCTACAGTGTTGTGTTATAATACAACTGAACAGGTTGATTCAAAATATCTGCAGCTCCAATTTGCTGCACAGCCCTCAATGCTGGGCCAGGCTTGGATAACATGTCCAGGTTAATGACCTGGATTTGAGAACGTTTCTGACCCCAATAACTGGCACCATCCAGCGCTGAGCTGCCATTGCAGTGTGTGTGTGTGTGTGTGTGTGTGTGTGTCTCAGTGTGTGTGTGTGTGTCTGTGTGTGTGTGTGTGTGTCAGAGCTGAAGCTGACCATCAGACAACAGCGTGACACTGTACTGATCCTTCGACATCGAAAACATACAGGGAGTGTGAGTTATCCTACACTCACAATGCCTGCCTGTTCTTTTCTGTCCATTCCGTTTCAGAGTGGGGTCATCCTGAAAGTGTTTCTCTGATACAGCATCTCCACCCTAACATAGAAAGATAGAAGATAGGAGCAGGAGGAGGCCATTTGGCCCTTCGAGCCCTGCTCTGTCATTCATCACAATCATGGCTGATTGTCAACTCAGTAGCCTAATCCTGCTTTCTCCCCATAACCTTTGATCCTATTCACCCCAAGTGCTATATCCAGCTGCCTCTTGAATACATTCAATATTTTGGCACCAAATACTTCCTGTGGTAAAGAATTCCACAGGCTCACCACTCTTTGGGTGAAGAAATGACTCCTCATCTCCATCTGAAATGGTCTACCCTGAATCCTCAGACTGTGACCCCTGGTTCTGGACACACCCACCATTGGGAACATCCTCCCTGCATCTACCCTGTCCAGGCCTGTTAGAATTTTATAAGTGTCTATGAGATTCCCGCCTCATTCATCTGAATCCTAGCAGAAACAATCCTAACCTACTCAATCTGTCCTCATACGTCAGTCCTGCCATCCCCAGAATCAGCCTGGTAAACCTTCCCAGCATTCCCATGAGACCAAGAGCATCCTTCCTCAGAAAAGGAGACCAGAACTGCACACAATATTCCAGGGGTGGTCTCACCAAGGCCCTGTATAACTGCAACAACACAGCTCCTGTACTTGAAACCTCTCGCAATGAAGGCCAACATACCATTTACCTTCTTCACCGCCTGCTGGCACCTGCATGCTTACCTTCAGCGACTGGGACACAAGGACACCCAGGCCCTACTGCACATTCCCCTGTCCCAATTTACAGCATTCAGGTAGTAATCTGCCTTCTTGTTTTTGCTTCCAAAGTAAATAATTTCACATTTATCCAAATTATACTGCATCTGCCATTGATCTGCCCACTCACATGTCAAGATCATGCTGAAGGATCTCTGCATCCTCCTCACAGTTCACCCTCCCACCCAACTTGGTATCATCTGCAAACTTGGAGATGTTACATTTCGTTCCCTAATCGAAATCATTACTATATATTGTGAAAAGCTGTGCTCCCAGCATTTAGCAGAATCTCCACCACATGATTACTGAGGTCACAGTTACACCACTGCACATTTACTGCACTCTCTCTCTATAGAGTCTGCCAGCTGTGGTTAGTTATTCAGCGTGTTTGAGAAGGCAGAGAATAAAGCAGGAGTAGGCTAAAAGTCCCAGTGGCTAATTTGTATCCCGACTCAATTTATCCGCCTCTGCTCCGATACCCTAACTACAAAAATATACAGAGATAACAAGGTGTAGAGCTGGATGAGCACAGCAGGCCAGGCAGCATCAGAGGAGCAGGAAAACTGACGTTTCGGGTCTGGACCCTTCTTCAAAACCCGAAACGTCAGCTTCCCTGCTCCTCTGATGCTGCTTGGCCTGCTGTGTTCATCTAGCTCTACACCTTGTTATCTCAGATTCTCCAGCATCTGCAGTTCCTACTATCTCTGCAAAAATATACAGTTTTTGTAGGCAGATTCGCTTCTAACTGACATCTCCTGGCCCCTCTTAGCAATCCTAAAAGTGGAATCGGATTCTAACAGTAACTACGCATCTTTTTTCTTATTCAGTTCAAAACTGTGTGTTGGAATTACTGATCTTTCATAATTCATTTCCAGACTCCGAGATCAACGCTGTGTGATATATCCAGGCGGGTGGATTAGCTGAGAAAAACCATCCTCACTCAGTGGTCCTGACGCAAACAAAATGCAAAGATAGTAAGAACTGCCGATAGTAAGAACACACCAGAACGTAGGCGTTTTCTGAAGACCTTTTCTTTCAGCCATTAATAGTGTTTCTCTTCCGCAACTGCTAACATTCCCCGTTCAGAGCTTTAGTTATGTTTCAGACTTCCAGCAGATTTGCCTTCATTCGTTTTAATCACTTTCGCCAATTTTTATTCAAATCAGAAACGGCTACTTTATTCTTTAAAGAAAAAAAATACAAAACTACAAAACTTCCGAAATAGGTAACATTAAAGTAATAACACGACTAGTTTACAAGACACAATTCTGCTTACGCAACACCGGCCCTTACTGTGTAATTGTTTATATATATATAATGTATAGTTATTGGGTGTTTTATCATGTAATCTCGATTATTTTCCGCCGCATTACAAACCTGACTTCAGCCAGCGCCTATTTTTCTGCACTGATTAAATGAACCCAAAGGATATCACATTTCCACGCTGGAGTCAATGATCATCTGAGTTACGCCGGAAACTAACTCTCTCACACACTCTCTCTCTCTCCAAATGCTACCGGACCTGCTGAGTTTCTGCAATCTTCTCGGTTTCTTTGAGACAGAAGAGTTTTAATTCGCTTCTTTACCCCGATCAAAGCCCTTCAGCCCGCGGGCGAAGCCAGATCGTGGCGGTTCTCAAACTCGCCCGATCGTCTCCGGAGCCTGCAGCGATTCCCTGTTTGTGGTTATAGAATCCCAGTGTCCCGCCCCCTTGATCATGACCCCACCCCCGAGCACCTAACCATCATCTCCCAAACCATCCACAACCTCATCGCCTCAGGCGACCTCCCATCCACTGCTTCCAACCTAATCGTTCCCCAACACTGCACCCTATTTCAAGAAAGCGACGCATTATCACCTTCTGAAGGGCAACAAGAATTGGGAAGTAAATGCCTGCTTTGCCAGTGATAGAATGTCTCAAATATGTAACATGAAAAGCCAAAGTCATGAAACCACTTACAGCCCCAGCCTACACCAGCTCATGCAGAGTAATCCAGTCAGCTCCCTTCCCCTTTCCAATCCTTATTGACCTGTATGTTTGCTTCCTTTGTGGGCCTATTCAATTTCCCTTTAAAATCCTCTTTTTTTTTGTACCTCTCCAGGGAGCAGTGAGTTCCACTCACTACACTGAAACAAACCTATTCCTCACACCCCACTTGTCCAAAATCTTAGATCTGTGTCTCCTAATCTTTTTATCATTTGGGCAATGGGAACAACTCATCCTGGTCCCCTTTATCTCAGTCTGTCACAACCTTGAACAGCTTGTGTCAAATTTATTCTCAATCTCTTTTACCTCAAGGAGAATGACCCTCGTCTTTTCAACCCACTCTTGCCACGAAAATCTCACATGCCCCACAGTCATTCTGGGGAGATCTCCTCTGCACTGTCTCAAGAATTCTCACATTGTTCTTCAAGTGAAGTGACTCCAAAAGGAGTCCATACTTTAGTTGGAGCTTAACAAGAGGTTTATAAAAATTTTCAGCATGATTTTCCTAGTTTGGTACTCAATGCCTTGACTGAATGAATTCAAGATCCCAAATGCTTTTCCTACAACTTCCTTAATATTGACTGGCAGTTTCAAAAATCAATGTGCATACAACTCCAGGTCTCAGTTCCCCTGCACTCGGTTGCTTCTCTCTGCTCCCATTGCCAAAATGCGTCACTCCCAGTTCTCTGTGTTAAATGACATTTACCTGCTGTTTGCCTTTCCACTGGCCTTTTTCCTGTTGTAGTTGATAAATACCATCATCAATCTTTGCTAACTAACAAGTTTGTCATCGTGGACGAGGAGGATTTTCTTTCTCTCTCAGAAGGTGGTGAGTCTTTGGAACTCTTTTTCCCCAAAGACTAGTGAAGGCAGGGTCATGGAATATTCTTATGGGAGAGGTAGATAGATTCTTGACGAACAAAGGAGTCAATGGCTTCTGGGGGTCGGTGTGGCATGTGAAGTTGAGATCACAATCAGATTGGTCATGATCTTTCTGAATGGTGCAGTAGGCTTGAGGTGTCAAATGACCCACTTCTATTCCTAATTCATAGGTGTATTCCTACAGCCAACTTACGTATATCATAAAAAGCAGTTCTCCTCGCACTTACTCTCAGCAAACCCTATTGTTTACCATCCTAAATAGCTCACTCCTCTCTCTCCTTCAGACAACCTTAATTTATCCATTTGATCACTGGTCTTCAAATGGCGTGCCTGAAATTGGGTAACATTTTTAAACCAGGCTTTTATGTTGTATCGTCGAATATTTTTATTAAAATCTATTTGGACATCATTTAGTGCATTCCCTTCATCAACCTCCTCAGTTCACGAAAAATAAAATCCAGTTAGACAAGTACAATTTGCCTTTTATAGATCTGCACTGGGCTTTCTTAATTTAACTTAGACTCTTCCAGTGTGTGATGGTTTTCATGATCAACATAAAACAATTTAAAAAAAAAGTCCTGTTTAAGAAATGTGTGAAAATAAAAGTGAGCTCGGATCGTGCAGTATATGTTAAATACTTTGCTACTACATACTGTAATATTCTGGTGAATATTCATAGAACCCAATTCATCAAGTTTCACTGGTGAAATTGCAGCATTGACTTACTTTGAAGAATATCTGTTCCTTCTGGGTTTTATTATCTGCAAAAAGAGTATGTCCTTTTGAAGAAAGTGACACAGCAAAGACATAGAGAGGGCAGTTTGAACATCCTCAACATCCCTATTCCACTAACCCTCCTTCCCACTCACAACATCCCGGTTTCCAGTGCCCATGCGAGTTTCCTCCACCTCTCTCACATTCAAACATTGTTTATCTTCCAACCCATCCTTCATCATTGCAGAGCTCTATTTTACCAACACACTTTTTGTAGGTCCCATCACAGCCTCAGAATTTCTTTTTTTCTTCATTCACGGGATGAGGGCGCCGCTGGCTCAGCAGCATTTATTGCCCATCCCTAATTGCCCAGAGGGTAGTTAAGAGTCAACCACATTGCTGTGGGTCTGGAGTCACGCACAGGCCAGACCATGTAAGGATGGCAGTTTCCTTCCCTAAAAAGTACATTAGTGAGCCAGATGGGTTTTTTTTCCCAACAATCAACAATTGATTCATGGTCATCATTAGATTCTTAATTCCAGATATTTTAATTGAATTCAAATTCCACCAGCTGCCGTGGCAGGATTCAAAGCTGGGTCCCCAGAACATTATCTGGGTCTCTGGATTAACAGTCCAGCGATAATACCACGAGGCCATCTTTTACAGGTCTAGCTGATTTCCCACGCTTCAAAACTATCACTATCACTATCACTGTTTCCACATCATTGTGGGAGTACCATCACCATCAGATTACAGCTGTTCAAGAAAATCTCACAAGAGCCAAGTGTTAATGTACAAATATTGGTTTGGACACCAGCTGACTCTTGATAACCCAGTGATGGCCAGTAAATGCCTTCTTAACGTGATTCAGAAAAATAAAAGAAATATTTAAATGCAATAACTAATTTAACAAAAGGGAATAAAAAAACAGAATCTACGACCCTTCGGGATGGAGATGCACAGTTCTTGCAGTAATTTCTCTTCGTCTCAGTGTTAAATGATTGATGCCCCCTCCAATACAGAACTCACTTGTCCTAGATTCCAGCTCTAGACTCCCCAACCAGAAGAAACAGCTCCTCTAGCATCTATCCTTTAAAGCCCATAGAGCATCGTGAATGTTTCCATAAGATCACCTCTCATCCTTTTCAACTTCAGAGAGTATCCTCCTAATTTAATCAGCCTTTTGTCATCGGGTAATCTCTTCATCCCAGGATCAATCTGGTGAACCTTCGCTTTACTGCCCCCAATATCTATACATCCTCCTTAAATATGGAGACCAAAATTGCAATGTTCCAGCTGCGGTCTCACTAAAGCCCCATGCAACTGCAGCAAGACTTCTTTCTTCCAATTCCCTTGCAATACAGGCCAATACGTCATTCACTTTGCCAAGTCGATGTCTGTACTGCATACTAACTTTCAGCCAGAACCAGAATCTTAATACAAATCATTTGCAAAAAAGGACTTACGGCTGGCAAAGGTTGACCTTTCAATGCAGTGACATTGTAGAGGGAAATGGAGGGAGGATTGGTGATAGTTACTGCACAATTAGAAGCTGGAGATTTGATGGGTGTGATAGTAAACATTGTGGAAGGAGGTTGGGAGGCTGTCGAAGAGACTAGATTAAATCACACACCAAAGGCGCAGACTTCAAGGCAAAGAGATTTTATTCGTGATATCACAGAGAGTCAACACTGACAAAAGGTCAGGTCCAAAGACTCTGACAAGCACAAAAAAGAAGCAGAATTTATACAGTGGTACAAACAAGTTAAAACAAACTGCAATGGTACTGTGTTTTAGCAAGGCAAGGTCAATACTCAGGCAACCAGACACACATTAATTGAAACGGAACGTGGTGAAGATAAAAGTTTACAGATGCTGCGAGCCCTAGCTTTTTGCTATCTATCCTACGTGACTTCTCAGGCTAGGGAAAGGCAGGTTGCAGTTACAGCAATACGTACAGTTTCAAAAAGCTAAGAAGTTTCCCTACTTTGTGCTCCTAGTCATGTATTATTTTAACTCATTACTACTCAGTGTAAAAATACGAGTATTCCACAGAGGCTATTAGAACATTTGGCTGCCAAAGGAAACACATGCCAGTTTTCACAGCATCCCTACAGTGATTAAAAGAGGCCATTCAGTCCATTTGAGTCTGCACCAACTTTCCAAACAACAAAAAAAAAATCTCACCCTATTCCCATAACCCCACATTTACCATGGCTATTCTAAGTAACCTCCACAATCGCTGGACACCGTGGACGCCTAACCTGCACGTCTTTGGACTGTGGGAGGAAACCAGAGCATGCAGATGTAACCCACACAGACAGGGAGAATGTTTTGCAGGTGGGATTGTTGGTGGGGGTGGGGGGGTAGGGGGGGTGGCGGAGCTTGTTAGCAGCAGTGTTAACTAACAGAATAGACCCAAGAACAAAAACAGAAGTTGCTCGAAATGCTTAGTAGGTCTGTCAGCATCTGTGAAGAAAAAAATAAAATCAGAGAGAGTTAATGTTTCGGGTCCAGTGATCCTTCCTCAGAAATGCTGTAGCAGGGAAAAGGCAGAGAGAAATAGTGATTTTTTTTTGGATAGAGAGCCAGGCAGGGAGCACAGATTAAAGAGAGGGGAAGAAATAACGCTAACAGATGCAAAATTTGATTGAAAGCAACCATGCATGGCTTATCAGAAAATCATCGTAGATCATAGCATCCCTACACTGCAGATACAACAAGGTGCAGAGCTGGATGAACACAGCGGGCCAAGCAGCATCATAGGAGCAGAAAGGCTGACGTTTCAGGCCTAGACCCTTCATCAGAAATGGAGGAGGGGAAGGGGGTTCTGAAATAAATAGGGAGAGAGGGGGAGGCGGATAGAAGATGGATACAGGACAGGATAGGTGGAGAGGAAACAGACAGGTCGAAGAGGCAGGGATGGAGCCAGTAAAGGTGACTGTAGGTGGGGAGTTAGGGAGGGGATAGGTCAGTCCAGGGAGGACGGACAGGTCAAGGGGGCGGAATGAGGTTAGTAGGTAGGGGATGGGGGTGCGACTTGAGGTGGGAGGAAGAACAGGTTAGGGAGGCGGGGACGAGCTGGGCTGGTTTTGGGATGCGGTAGGGGGAGGGGAGATTTTGAAGCTTGTGTCATTTGGCCCAACAAGTCCACACCACCCCTCCAAAGAGCATCCCACCCAGACCTATTCCCCTACCCCTGCATTTCCCTTGTCTAACCCACCTAACCTAAACATCCCTGGACACTATGGGCAATTTAGCATGGCCAATCCACCTAGCCTGCACATCTTTGGACTGTGGGAGGAAACCCACGCAGACACGGGGAGAATGTGCAAACTCCCCACAGACAATCGCCCAAGGCACATAGTGCTGAGGTTCCACAGTTAGCTCAGAAAACTCAGCCTCACAAGTGAAAGTGCCGTTTCCCCACATGCTAAAACTCAATTGAAAATGCTTTCTCAAATGGTAGCAGCCTGGGTCCAATGATAGTAGTGTAACTTCATTCTGGCTCCTCTTCATTATGAAGAGGCCTTTCCCTCATTGGGAACACCAATTCCAGAGTTCAACAGTGATTTGTTCTCCTGTTACAAAGAGAAGAAAGAAAACAGTGAATTAATCTGTCAGGGAACAGAAAATGCTGACTTCTTCTCAAAATATACAATAAACGAAAGAAAGTTTCTTAAACATGCAATGTATATTTTGTTTCTTTCAGCTTCCAATCAAGTTTTCTTTTTCATCTTAGACAGTCATTTATAGGAAAGGCAGAATGTGGATGTCACTGGCCGGGCCAGTATTTATTGCCTGTTCCTAGCTGCCTTTGGGAAGGTAGTGGTGAGCTGCCTTTTTGAACCGCTGCAGTCCATTTGATATAGGAACACCTACAATGCCATCAGGAAGGGAGTTCCAGGGTTTTGACCCATCAGTGGTAAAAGAATGATGGATGTATTCCTAGGACAGGATGGTGTATGGTTTGGAGGTGGGGGGAGATTCCAGGAAATGGTGTTCCATGGGAGATCGCATATTTGTAATGTGCTGTCAAAAGAAACCTTGGTGAATTGTTGCAGTGCATCTTGCGGATGGTCAACACTACTATCATTGTGTGTCAGTGGTGAAGAGAGAGTGAGCATGAGGGTGCTGCTTTTTCCTGGATGGGTGTCAAGCTTTTGGTATGTGCAAAGAAAGAAATACCTTTGTACATACCAAAAGCAAACAAACTAAAGGCATTTGTATCAGAGATAGTAGGAACTGCAGATGCTGGAGAATCTGAGATAACAAGGTGTAGAGCTGGATGAACACAGCAGGCCAAGCAGCATCATAGGAGCAGGAAGGCTGACGTTTCGGGCCTAGACCCTTCATCAGAAATGGGGGAGGGGAAGGGGGTTCTGAAATAAATAGGGAGAGAGGAGGAGGCAGATAGAAGATGAATAGAGAAGATAGGTGGAGAGGAAACAGACAGGTCAAAGACACGGGGATGGAGCCAGTAAAAGTGAGGGTAGGTGGGGAGGTAGGGAGGAGATAGGTCAGTCCAGGGAGGACGGACAGGTCAAGGGGGCAGGATGAGGTTAGTAGGTAGGAAATGGGGGTGCGGCTTGAGGTGGGACGAGGGGATAGGTGGGAGGAAGAACAGGTTAGGGAGGCGGGACGAGCTGGGCTGGTTTTGGGATGCGTTAGGGAGAGGGGAGGTTTTGAAGCTTGTGAAATCCACATTGAGAAAACACGCGTTGCTTTTCAAAACGTTTATGATCAGTCTAAATCATTTTCCAAATCCCTCTGCCGTTTGAATTGTCGCACACTGTGCACCAGGGTTTAATTGGTTCATACGAACTAAAATGCCCATTATATCACTGATCTGCTTATTTTGATGCCCCCCATGGAATAAAACAATTTCGCAGAAATGTGTGGGACTCAAGTGTCTATAGAATCCTAAGAAACAGGCTGGAGTTCCCCTCCTGGGGCCCATGGAGCAGGATGGTGCCATTCATCCCTTCAAACCTGTTCCTGCTTTTCAGTCTTATCATTTTCATCCCTTTATATATCCAACTCCTTGTGGAGTCAGCTGCACAAACCTTACCTGTGGACATTAAGATGGGCCAAGAGGTCAGTTAAACAGGATTTCCCCGGAGTCAGACAGGGAAATCCCAAAATAAGAGAGGTGGAGGCTGTTGGGTGCAGAGGTGGGAGCTGGCCCGAACAGAAGGTCTGTCCCCGTGCACCAAGTTATTTAAGAAACAATTAGACAAAAAAAAACAACACTCTCACCTCTCTACCTGCATAAAACCTCAGGACATATATATGCGTGTAAATATTTACACACCTTTGAGTATAGGGCTGGAGACATTATGCCGAGGTTATACAGGATATTGGTGGGGCCTCCTTCTGTGTGCAGTTCTGTTCTCTGAATGATATTATTAAACTGGAGAGGGTTCAGAAAAGATTTACCAGGATGCTGCCAGGAATGGAGGGTTTGAGTTAGGAGGAGAGGCTGGATGGAGGCTTTTCCTCACTGGAGTGTAGGAGGTTCAGAGGTGACATTATAGAGGTTTATAAAATCATGAAGAGCTATAGATAAAAGTGAAAGGCATGTGACTTTTCCCTAGGATGGGCAATTTCAAGACTAGAGGGAATATTTTTAAAAAGGTGAGAGGATAAAGATTTATAAAAGATACGAGGGCCAATTTGTTTTTTAAAAAACACACAGATTGGTTCCTGTGTGGAATGTCCTTCCAGAGGAAGTGATGGATGTGGGTAAAGTTACTATGTTTAAAAAGATAAGTACATGAATAAGAAATGTTTGGAGGGATATGGGTCAAGCATAGGCAGGTGGGATTAGTTTAGTTTAGTTTGGGATTATGGTCAGCATGGACTGGTTGGGCCGAAGGGTCTGTTTGCGAGCTGTATGACTGTGACATTGCCATGTCCCTTTCTTCTTGGGCGGTCGCTCTGAACGGAGGGAGAGCAATTTCCACTGTGATTCACTCGATGTTGTGGTTACTGACAAGTCCAGTCTGCAGACTCTTCCAGGACACGGCCCAGGCCAGGGCTCAAGAGTGAGGCAGGCGAGACATATGGAGGGTTGTGCACTCACTCGGACCCCTCACTTTCACCTCTGCGTGTTTCCATGCCTTCTTTCACCAGACATGGGCCTGGGACACCCCACCCACGGGAGTCAGTAGGGATGGGTGCAGACACTTGTTCTGTTTAGGATGCTTCGAGGACTTGTCCACTCTTGTCCTGGGAGTCACTTGTTGCAACCGAGTGTCTATAGAATCCTAAGGAACAGGCTGGAGTTATCCTCCTGGGGCCCACGGGAACGTAGAAAATAGGAGCAGGATGGGGCCATTCATCCCTTCGAGCCTGTTCCTGCTTTTCCGACTTATCATTTCAATCCCATTAGCCTCGAGTGCTATATCCAACTCCTTGTGGAGCCAGCTGCACCAACTTCACCTGGGGAAAGTAAGGTGGCCCAAGGGGCATGGAGTGAGGCCTAGCAATGAGATGTCCTCCCAGAGATGATGGGCTACCTCACAGGGCAGCACGGTGGCTCAGCGGTTAGCACCGCTGCCTCACAGTGCCAGGGACCCAGGTTCGATTCCACCCTCAGGCGACTGCCTGTGTGGAGTTTTCACATTCTCCCCCCTGTCTGTGCAAGTTTCCTCCCACAATCCCAAGATGTGCACGCTTGGTGGACTGGCCATGCTAAATTGCCACATAGTGCCCAGGGATGTTTGGGTTAGACATGGGGGGAAAATGCAGGGGTAGGGGAAGGGTCTGGGTGTGATACTCTTTGGAGGGGTGGTGTGGACTTGTTGGGCCAAATGGCCTGTTGTTTCAGCACTGTAGGGATTCTAGGATGGTCCAACAAGCGGAGCTGGATTAGAGTGACCGGTACCTCAATGCTGGGCACACTGGCTTGAGAGAAGATGCTGCAGTCGCACCATCTTCCTGGCCACCAGATTCGGAGGAGAATAGTGAAGGAATTGGCTGGTTATACCGTTCTGGTGATTTTGAGCTGCTCAGTTTAAAAGTTTAAGTAGGTGGGGTAGGCCATTGAGGGCTGAGACAGGGAGAAATGTCTTCACCCAGACAGTGGTGAGCTGACCAAATTCTTTGCCATGGAAAGCAGTTTAGAGTAAAATATCGAATACCTTCAAGAAGGCGTTAGATATAGTTCTCAGGGCAAAAGAGATCAAAGTGTATAGCAAAAAAGTGGGAACAAGATACTGATCATGATCGTATTGAATGACAGAGCAGGCTCAAAAAGGGCCAAATGGCCTAATCCTGTTCCTATTTTCCAGATTGTATTTTCTTATACTCAGGTAAAAGTCGTGGTTGGATAGCACAGCTGACTGTGTAGCCCTGGTGTTCACCAGTGTTAAGTGTACACATGTCAGTGTAGCTTTGAGACATGCTCATGAAATCATCAGTGTTGTAGCATATGACTTTTGGTGAAAAGGTCTCATACTCCATCTTACCCCAGAATCACTTGAAGCATGTCATGCTTTGGGAAGCAGAGGCTACTCAACACTGTTCTGCTGCAATCTAATTTTTTTGTGCATAACAGTTAGCCGTAGGACACATCTGTTAGATTCTTCAGTATCACAACATCGACACCCAGTCTCTTACATCAGGAGGGATGATATAAGCATTGCTGTATCAGGGCAAACATCCCGTTGGAGGCAATATCCCATTATTCCAGAGTCATTGAAATGGAAAATCCCAGTCAGTCAGTCACTGTATCGTTTGCAATAGTTTTGATACAACCTGTAACTCCATCAACATTACTTACATGATATACCAAGCAAAGGGATATCAAAAGGACAATGAATGGCACCACCAGAGCAAGAATCAGACTAGTTTGCAGGCTGGGTGCTGGCTCACATCCTTTGCCTGAAATTAATAACAGGAATATAAAAACACAAATTGCAGTTCTAAGCAGCATAATAGGTGACAAACTCATCAGAATGCTTGGAGAACAGTTATGATGTTACATATCCTTTTTGACATAGATACCCACGGTGATCTTGTTTAATGTTTGAGGCAGCACTGGCCTAGTGGTACTGTCATTGGACTGGCAATCCAGAGGTTCTAGGTAATGCTCTGGGTTCGAACCACACCACAGCAGATAGTGGAATTTGTATTCAACAAATATGTTTTGGAATTTTAAAGAAAGCCTAAATGACCATAAAACCGTTTTGATGGTCATAAAAACCCAAAAATCAGGTTCGCTAGTGTCATTTAGGGAAGGAAATCTGCTATCCTTCCCTGGTCTGGCACGCATGACTCCAGACCCACAGCAACATAGTTAACTCTTACCAGCCCTCTGCATTCTCCTAGGAAGCCAGTCAGACAACAAGCAACTGTGACCTTACCAGCAATGGGTATTGTCCATGAATGAATTTAAAAATACTAAGTGAAATCTCATTTGGAAAACTGATGCTGGAGAGACAGGCAGAAAGACCGCCTTCTGCACCATACCAATTCTGGTGATTTTTTGTTAAAAGAGGACACTGGTTAAGCTTAAGAGAAAGATGGTGAAGAAAGTTTACACTTTATGTCAATAAGCAATCAGACAAGAAGGGATGGGGATGAGGTTTTCATGCCATGTTAATGCTGGAATACACTGGTGAGGTCAAATGGTCTGTGTCTGCACTGTCTAGTCTGCATAATTCCAGATCATAGCTTGAAGGCTGTCACACAAGTACAGCAGAAGTTTATAAGAAATTTATTTTGCATGGGAGTTTGACACACAGATTCACCGCAGTCTGAGATAGGAGCCACTGCATCATCCAAGCAAACAGCAGACAAATATTTGAAAAAGAGGGACTTGCAGAATGAGGGGATTGGACTAGAACTAAATCGGACTAAAATAAAAATGCAATTTATTATCCAAATGGAGAGAAACTTTAAAACTCTTTGGTGCGGAGGGATCTGGGTGTCCTCATGCATGTAGCAGAAAACTCATATTCCCGGTACAGCAAGTAAAAGGGAAGACAAGTGCAATTTTGGAATTTATTACTGAAGGGGCGGAGTATAAAAGTAAGGAAGTGTTGTTGCAATTGTACAAGGCATTAGTGAGACTGCACCTGGAGTTTTGAGTACAGTTTTAGTTCTCTTACATGAGGAGGGATGTAATTGCATTGGAAGCAGTTCAGAAGAGGTTCACCAGATTAATTCCAGAGATAAGGTTTGGCTTATGAAGAGGGATTGAGCAGTTTAGGCTTACGCCTGCCAGGAGTATGGAAGAATGAAAGAAGAAATAATTGGGGAGGTACATAAGATGCTGTAGAGGATTGACAAACTCTATGTAGCGCTGATGCTTCCCCTTGTGGGGCAAGGTAGAATGAGAGGTCATAGTTTTAGGATAAAGGGGTGGCAGATTTAAAAGAGAAGAGGGGGAATTACTTAACTCAAAAGGGTTGTGAATCTCTGGAACTCACTACCACAGAGACTGTTGGATAGCGGGACACTGAGTAAGTTTAAGAGATAGACAGATTTTTAATTATTATGGGTTGAGGGTTACGGGGAGCAGAGTGGAGGAGTTGAGATGAAATCAGCCACGATCGTATTGAATAGGAATGTAGGGTTGAGGGGCTGAATGGCCTACTCCCGCTCCTATTTCTTATGCGCTAGAACTGATACAGTAAGGAGATGGCACAGGAACACAATGGGCTGAGTGGCCTGATTTTACTCTGTTAAGCTTCAATTAAATTGATGGTTTTGATTGAAGATGTGACAATCTGCTCCTCTAGTCATACTATTTCTGACAAGGTGTCATGCTCAGCATTGATTTGTTGGCTACAAATTCCATCATCAAGACTCACCAGAATGTACGAGTGTTTCTATAATCAGGATTCCCGACAGACACACAACAAGTACTTCACTGTATAGATCGACTGCACTCGGAATTAGGCTGAAAACTGGAAGCAAAATAAAAAAACAGAATATTTAACACCCGCAATGTCAATGTCAAGAAAAGTACAGAGAAGATTTCCTTGCTCCTACACTTGAGATTTTTGGATCAACCAGATACAGCAAGTACAATAGAGTCAGGAAGAGAGCACAAACTCCCAACAGACTGATAGATGACCCACCCATTTAAAAATAGCAGGTGGAGAATTCAGAGATAGTAGGAACTGCAGATGCTGGAGAATCCGAGACAAAAAGGTGTAGAGCTGGATGAACACAGCAGGCCAAGCAGCATCATAGGAGCAGGAAGGCTGACGTTTCGGGCCTAGACCCTTCAAGCAGCTTTACGCATCTGTGTGCCGCACTACCCACGTTTCCCTCAGACATTCCAATAAGACCCAGAAGCAAGACCCTTTGCCCTACTATCTTCCTCTCCTGCGGTTCCCTATGATATAGTGCAAGTGTTGGCAGTGTCTCAGGTATTACCACACAACTCGGATTCAGCAGATAAGCCAGGCAGGTATCTGGTGTAGTAGAGTGGGAACGTTACATTGTCAGAAGTACCATGTTTTGGATGAGATTTCAAAACGATGTCCCTGACTCCCTTTCAGACACATGTAAAAAGGTCCTACGGTATTGTCTTAAAAACAGATTTCCTGGTAACCAGGCCAACTTTCAAGCTCTAATAAAAACCAAAAGAACTGCGGATGCTGTAAATCAGGAACAAAAAACAGAAGTCGCTGGAAAAGCTCAGCAAGTCTGGCAGCGTGTGTGAAGGGAAAAACAGAGTTAACGTTTCGGGTCCGGTGACCCTTCCTCAGAAGTTTTGAGGAAGGGTCCCCGGACCTGAAACGTTAACTCCGTTTTTTTTCCTTCACAGATGCTGCCAGACCTGCTGAGCTTTTCCAGCAGCTTCTGTTTTTGTCCATCATTTACACTCTATCCTACAACGTTAAAGAGAATTACTTGGTCACGTATCTCCTGGATACGTACGTGGGACGTTGCTGCGCTCTGTTTAGTGTTTCTTGTAACGGGTATTAAAGTAATTTATTGGGCAGGAACTGCCGGAGGCTGTGAAAGTGCAAGTTTGTCCGCACATGCACTGAATTTTCAATCTGTCTTCCATACCTGTAGAAATCATCACTAATACACTTCCAGCATTCACAAATTAAGCTCTAGTACACAAAAATTCACTCCAATTACAATACAGGAAACAATACTAAAACAATTTTTTGTTTAAAAGCCAGATCTGTAAACCCAACTTTTTCTCAGTCACTTGGATAGTTTAAAAAAAAAGTAATTATGTCCCCGAATCAATTGTCTTCTTGAAGTCAATTTAAAGTCAAACTTAACTGTAGATGTGTTTTCCTCTCTATTACATTGGTTGCATTATATACCAATTTCTGGGCATCTAGTCCTGTATCCAATCTATGTTTGATGCCATGTAGCTGTAGTTGTATTGGTCCTTTCCACTTATAGCGACTCTTAGAAACGTTTACAATCATTGTTGGATCAATTTCAATATAGGAGGAGGCATCGAACCTGTGTTTCGGATCTCCAGTGTAAAATAACCAAAAGAAAAAGCCAGGATGAAATGAGCTAAAGGAGCTGTCCTGGAATATCTGAGTTTATTTTTAAGAATAAAGGGTCTGCCAAAGCAACTTAGGAACAGTGCGGCACTTTAGAGACGCTTTCTTGTCTCTAAAGTACACGTGTGGACTTCTACCACATCCCGGGTTTTAGCAGAGCAAGACCAAATTTGAAAGGCTCCATTGAAGACGCTAACTCACAAAGTTTTTCAACTCCCTCCTCTCCTTCTTTTATACACTGCTGCTCAACCACTTCCACAAACTTAACATGAGGGCTTTGATTGCGTGATGGTAACGCATCTGAATGTACCTTTGGACTTGGAAATCTTACCCATCCAGTTCAGGGTGCAAGCCTTCTTAAAAAGCTGACAATCTGAACTTCCTGTTGCCTGCCACTTCAGCAAACCACCTTGTTCCCTGGCCAACATCTGTCTTGCTGCAGCACTCCAATGAAACTCAGTACAAGCCAGAAGAACAGTATCTGATTTTCTGCTTGGGAACTCTACAGCCTTCTGGACTCAATATCGAGTTCAAAAATTTTAGGGCGCAAGACAACATCTCCCATATCCTTACCCAATCCTCACACACTAGGCCTTGCATTCACATGATCTGCTGTTACACACAGCCCATTGTTAGCCCCGGTCATCCCCATTAACAGCCATTTATTACCCTAGGCTGACCATTACCCATCCTTTGGGAGTCTCTCTCGTTCTTTGGGCTCTATCCCTCACCTATTGTTTACCCCTTATCCCCTCCCCCGACCCTATCTTCTGCACAAGGGGGAAAAAAAATATGTTTTCCTAGCTACCATCAGTTCTGAAGAAGGGCCACTGGATCCTGAAACGTTAGCTCTGATTTCTCTCCACAGACCTGCTGAGCCGTTCCGGTTATTTCTGCTCCATGTTGCCGTTGGAATTAGAAAGAGATTCAGAAACACTGCCATGAACACAGTGATTACAGCAAATCCTACGAAAAGAACAGAGTAAATAAAATTATACATTCACCTATTAAAGAAAAAGAAAGCTATTTAGTTCACCAAAGTGCCACTCAGAAGGAGAATAATATGTAGCATACATATGACTATCATTTCTATAGTTACGATACTGTTACAAAACCAATACAATGTTACTATTTATCTGTAAAAATTTTGAAGTCATACTAGACTTGAAACATTAACTCTTTTATTTTCCACAGTTGCTGAGTTTCTCCAATATGTGTGTTTTATATCACGATGGTTTTTGTAGCTTCATTAGGGAGTCAGTCAATGGGCAATAAAATATGACCTTCACTGATCAGATGACTAGACAATATTGAGAAATGAGCTGTATTGCAAACCATTCCTGATTTCAGATCATACAGAATGTCTTCATACCCTTCCTCAGAACTCATGGCAGCTGGGAAAAGGTAGTATTTACACTGATGATGTGGGAATGAGAGGGGTTGGTGGGAGAAAGGAGAGTGTAGAGAGGTGGAGATGGAACCTAAAGAGGTTAAAAAAAAAGTAGAAGACAAAGGGATTGTTGATAGTAAGCCAAGGAAAATGAAAAAGCTCATTAGGTGATATTTGGACAAATGAGAGAGGGAGAGAGTGGCCTGATTTGCTGAAAGCAGCCCATGTCAGTGACAGGTCCTGGGGTATGGGGGTGAGTAAAAGACATGGAAGGTGGTGTTCAGGCTTTAAAATGATTTAACTCAATTTTGAGTCCTGAAGGCTGTAAGGTCCCCAGAAAAAAATAAAGAAGTTGTTCCTTCAGCTTACACCAAGCCTCACTGGAGCAATGCAGCAGGCCGGAGTCAGAAATATGGTTGTCGGAAACATAGTGGCATGTTGAAGTGCCAGGCAACTGGAAGCTCGGGGTTATTTTTAACTAACAGAGCATAGGTGTTCCACAAAGCAGTCGCCCAGTCTATGTTTCATCTCCCTAATGTAGAGGCGACCACATTATATGAGCAACAAATACAGTCAATGTATACAATACATGTTATTTTAAATTTCTAAACACATGTAAAACAGGCTTTGCAGAAAACACAGCAGAATTTTGACAAATCTTATTGTAGTTTCAATCCAGTTGTAATACAAAAGGCATTTTCTAATCATGAACAAACTATTTGCATTCCCATGAAGGCTATAAATGTACCTCAAAATGAACTTGTTTACCTTAGCAAAGAGTTCAAAAACTGGAGGTCATAGATCGAAGCTAAGTGGCAGAAGGATTAGAGGGGATGCAAGGAAAATTTTTTTGTTTTAAGGACAGAGGATGGTGGGGGTCTGGAATTCGCTGCCTGAGACGGGGTGGAAGCAGAGATCCTAAATACTTTTTAGGAACGTACCTGGATGGGCAACTTAAGTGCTATAGATTGTCGGGTTATGAGGTCGTGTGCAGGAGGATGGGATTCGAAAGGGCACCTGGGTTTCTTTGGGTTTCCATGGACAAGATGGGCCAAATGGCCCCTTCTGTGCTGTATCATTTCTATTCGCCTTAGTGACGATGCAAGCCCTGCAGAGGAACCTGATCCCACGCCTAAAAAGGGAAGAATTATACACACTCAGCTACAAGTAACATTCCTTGAAGTCAAACTGGGAGCAGATACTGAAAGGCATAACATCACTCGCAACAGTCCTAAATGACATTGTGACTGATGTGTTTAAAAAGGAACCTGGATCAATTAACTGGTTAGAACTAAATTAAATTGAAATTCTTCCATCAAGTGTTATGTGATTCTTTAGAACTCCAGATATTCAGACTCAATGTTAAAACTCTCTCTCTCTCTTTCACTAAGAATTCCAGACCTGCTGAGTTTCTCCAGCTTTTTCTGTTTTCTTTTGCTTCCAAGGAGCACATACATTACCTTCGATAAATATCCAAAACACAAATGCAGCCGAAAGAAGGAGAAACGAAAGCTTCGGGAAGAACTGCAAGAATTTTTCTATGCCTTCAGATAACTTCAACTCTGCATTTGTGCCTGTTCCCCCATCATAATCTTTGACTCCCTCATCTGTCAAGTAAATCAGAATTTAATCTCAATTTCAAAATATTTCTCAGGATCTATTTTATTAAATTCAAGCTAGCAACAAAAATTGTCAAGGCAGTAAACTTCTCTTACATGGTATTTTGGCTTCCTGCACATACAAAATAATCTTGTGGATTAAAGAAACAGCAGCAAGATTAATCAGCGTAGCGATGGACAATCCCAAGGTGCAGTAATGCCACTGTGAAAGACCTGAAATAGAAAATATTATTATTTTAAAATTACGCTCTTTTCAAACCAGGTTAAAAATTCAGATTCCCCTTGCCACCTGGATGTGGTTCTCAAAGCTATTGTGATGGAAAAAGAACACTTCCAACCAGGCACGACTAAATCTTTCAAGTAACCTTGCATACAACCTTTACCAAAGTGAGACACCATATACTGAGAGCAGAAGTAATGTGTGGGAAGGCTGTCCCCTACTCACTGGCTCCCTGACAGAGGTCCCAAGAGATCCTGTTAAAGCTTCATTAGCCAGAGGCAAGAGGAAGAGGCCAGCCTCAAAAGAACAAACGGACAAAGGTAGAGCTGACAGAAGCAGCAATCAGGAGTGTGGTCCATCGAACCTGGATTCAATGCTGCACAAAATTCAGTGACCTCCCGAGTGCAGGAAAGGTGAATTACCAATTGTCAATCCCCTACAGTCAGACTTTCTCAGCACTCTCTTGCACAGCGCTCCTCAGAGCGGCTCACCTTGAAACGCCAATGATTCCTCTGTCTTGTTCTCTCTCGGCATCTTCTCACATCCAAATCTGAGCAGCTCTCCCACTCCCTTTCGCCTCGCTGTCATTTCAAACCCATCCTTCAAAACTATCCCCCCACCACACCCCAAACCCCCAACAAATGTTGACATTATTCCTTTTCCACACGTGACTTGTTTTTTGAGACATTCAAAAAAATTGTTTTCTCTTCTCGCAGAGGTAAAGGCACGGCACCAGGTAGAAACAGACAACCGGGAGGGGTGGTCCTCAAATCATCCTTCACACGTTTTCTGCTGCTGAGCAGACCTTTCAGGAAGCAGAAGCTATGTACCTTCTTGCACAGTTTCCCAGGGACTTCATGACCCCAGTTTAGTGAGAATGCTGGTGAGTCTCCAAACAAAGATGTTACCTAAGTCCTGAAGAAGGGTAATACCCAAAATGGTGACTGCTCCTTTCCTCCAGATGCTGCCCAGCCTGCTGCATTCTTCCAGCCTCCTGTTTGTCTACCTTGGATTCCAACATCTTCAGGTTTTTTTTTGTCTCTAAAGATGTTATCTAAATGGTGAGAGAATTTAAGAGTTCTGAGATGCAGAGGCGTCTGGGTGCCCTAATGCATGAATTGCCAAAAGATTAAATATGCAGGTGCTTCCATTATTTCAGAAAGCTGATCGACTTGACTGTTTATTACAATGGAAATTGAATACAAAAATGAGGAGTTAATGATTACATTAGAAAAGACATTTGAGAGACTACATTTGGAGTACAATGCACAGTATGGATCTCCTATTTTAAAAACAGGATCTAAATATATTGAAAGTAATTCAGAGAAGGTTTACAAAACAGATATCAGGAATAGATGCCCTGTCTTAGGAGGAAAGCTAGGCTTGTGTCTACTGGGGTTTAGAAGAAGTAAGAGGTGACTCAATGACTTGTCTATGGAAAGGATGTTCCTTTTGCAGAAGAAAGGAGAACCTAATGGTTAGGTGGATTTGCTACATTAAACGGCCCTGTAGTGTGTGGGCTAGGTGGGTTAACTAGGGTAAATGTGGGCTTATGGGGATAGGGTGGGATGCTCCTCGGAGGGTCAGTGCAGATTCGATGGGGTGAATGCCCTCAATCTGCCCCCTAGGGATTCTAACCTGAAGTTACTTTAGAAAAAAGTAAGGGGTTGTTCTTTAAGGCAGAGATGCATCTAAACATTCGAATTGGAACTGAAGGCCATTCAGCCCTCCAGACCTGCTCTTCCATTCAATAAGTTAATGGCTGATCTGTTTGTCTTCCAAATTCCATATTACCATCTCTCCCCAACAACATTTGATTCTCTTGCCTATTAAGAAGCTAATTCCAATTTTTTTAAAAAATTCAATGACACTGCTTCATTGCCTTCTGAGTCAGAGAGTTCCAAAGTCACTTAAACCTCTGAACATGAAAACATTTTTAAAATAGTGCTGCCTAGTTCTGGACTCACTCACCATTTTTTCCATGCGCACCTCATCAAAATCATTCAGGAACTTAATAAATTCAAATCACACTACTCCCGTCTCTTCTGAGCTCAAGTGAAAACAAGCTCAGCGTTCCCGATCCATGCTCCAACAGGTTGGTCACTGCTACAAGAAATGGTGTTACATAGACTTAGATATTACACTTGGGCAGCACGGTGGCTCAGTGGTTAGCAATGCTGCCGCACAGCACCAGGGACCGGGGTTCAATTCCAGCCTTAGGCGGCCACCTGTGTGAACTTTGCACGTTCTCCCCATGTCTGCACCCAGAGGGGACCCACGCAAAGATGTGCAGGTTAGGTGGCTTGGCCATGCTAAATTGACGATAGTGGCTAGGCATGTGCAGGCTGGGTGGGTTAGCCACGCAGGGTTACGTGGATAGGGTAGAGGGTGGGACTGGGTTGGATGGCCTTCAGAGGGTCAGTGTGGACTCAAATGGGCCGAATGGCCTGCTTCCACACTGTACGGATTCCGTGACAGATTATGCCCGTGTTAAATTGCTGTCTCCACCCGGAGTATGAACTCGTGTCGGCTCTGAACCTTTTCCCCGCGTCTGTTCTCATTCACGTCTTTCCTCTACCACTTAGCTCTTACAAGTTCCTCTGCCACACTTGAAAAGGAGAAGCTGAGCCGTCCTCAGAGAATTGACTGAATGGTTCGACTCACCATAAACTGGAAGCAAATATGTATTATTCTTCTTGCTGACAGGATTTTCCACCGCGCAAGTGTAGATCCCACAGTCGGATTTTTTGGCTGCAGAAATAATCAACTTGCTGTTGTTTTGCAGTAACAGGAAGCGCTGACTACCGGGTAACAACGTGCCATCTTTCCACCAGAGAACGGAAGTTGCGTTCCCCACAAGCACTTGACAAGTCAATTCAATGGTTGTATCCACAAAGGAGGAGTTACTGAAGATCAACGGTTTCGTCAGCGGTTCTGTGGGAGCGAATGAATGAACAAAAGTGTGATGACAGCTTCGCAGTATGTGGTGAATGTACAGAGTGCTCTATCCTTCGCATGTCAATCCTAACACCGCGACCCTGCGCACACCTCGTGTCATCAAAACCACTTGGAACCTCCAACAGCAGCCAGCACCATCCTTTCTCCAGCTTACCTGCTGCTCAAATCCTCAGCCGTCCCCTTACGGAGCCCAGGCGGAAATTTCCCCTCGCTGGAAGCGGTGGTGACAAAAGATGTTGAGTTGGCCCTGGCAAAGTTTTTAAACCCCTTCTCTCCATCTCACCAATTAAAGTGTTTGGGGCACTTTGCAACTCGCCACCAGGTCATGCCACCAAAGTGGTCAATTAATAATGATCTAAGGGTCTCAACTCACCACTTCCCCTAAATTACCTGGAATCGCAGCATGTTGGAACCTGGGAAAGGGGCTGGTTTCCTAACCATTGCTAATTTATGCTCTCAACCACCTCCTCTGGTATTCCCTCTCTTAACTATGGTGGGCTACTAAATACTACAGGAGGACAGACAGATGCCAGTAATGTGAAGAAAATGCAAGGTCATTGTGAGAGAATAAACAGTGGGAGGGAAGCGAGAAACAAGAAGTTGCTGGAGAAACTCAGCAGGTCTGGCAGCATCTGTGAAGAAAAAAATGGAATCAATGATTCAGGTCCAGTGACCCTTCAGGGCTTCATACCTACTGAGCTTCTCCAGTGATTGCTATTTTTGTTTCAGATTTTCAACATCCTCAATTCTTGGTTTTAGTTTAGTGGGAGAGAATGTGCATTTAAAGCAAAGACATCAATTATCAGTGAATACACATAAGCTACTATTGCAACATTTCCTGGAAATGCAAGAGCAAGCATGTAAAGCTATTGCACAAGAGACCAAATATACTTTAGAACACATCAGGGGAGGTGCACAACAAAACAGCAAGAACACAGAGGCTCCGTTGAGTACAAACAATATCTAGGCTATGGAGTAATCTGTATAGCTTTACACACTAAATCTCAGCAAGGATGTGAAAAATTGTGTGGGCTGTCTGAAAACATAAGGACAACACCAATCCCACCAAGGCATATATTCATTAATGTCCTTCAGTGACGGTAGCACAGTAAACAGGAGGAGTAAGGTGTCTGTTCCCTTGAATCTTCTCCACCATTCAACAGGGTGGGGGGCACGGTGGCTCAGTGGTTAGCCAGGGACCTGGGTTCAATTCCACCCTGGGGCGACTGTCTGTGTGGAGTTTGCACATTCTCCCCGTGTCTACGTGGGTTCCCTCCGGGTGCTCTGGTTTCCTCCCACAGTCCAAAGATGTGTAGGCTAGGTGGATTGGCCATGAAAAATTACCCATAGTGTCCAGGGATGTGTAGATTAGGTGGATTGCTCCAAGGGTTAGTGTTGACTTGTTGGGCTGAAGGGCTTGTTTCCGCACTGTAGGGATTCTATGATTCTATTAGGTCACATTGTGGCTGTACAGGACATTGGTGAGGCCACTTTCGGAATATGGCGTACAATTCTGGTCTCCCTGCTATAGGAAAGATGTTGCGAAACTTGAAAAGGTTCAGGAAAGATTTACAAGGATGTTGCCAGGGTTGTAGGGTTTGAACTATAGGGACAGGCTGAATAGGCTGGGAAGTATTTTCTCTGGAGGCTGAGCGGTGACTTTAGAGGTTTATAGAATGAGGGGCATCGATAGGGTGAATAGTTAAGGTCTTTTTCCTAGGGTAGGGAAGCCCAAAACTAGAGGGGCATAGGTTGAAGGTGAGAGGGGAAAGATTTAAAAGGGAACCAAGGGGAAAACTTTTCATGCTAAAGGTTGCGTGGGTATGAAATGAGCTGCCAGAGGAAGTGGAGGCTGGTACAATTACAATGTTTAAAATGCATCTGGATGGGTATATGAATAGGAAGGGATGCTGGGACAAGCAAAGCAGAAACAAGCACAGGAATTCCTAGAAGCATGGTACTCCATGAAGAAAGCCATCAACAAACAGAGCTTGACCCTGTATTCACTCCACTGTGAAGGAAAACCGGAAGTGAGGTAATCCAGCTCAACGGACCCCAGAGTTTAAAGGACAGGCGGGAAAACATAACGGCACTTCATTGGAGGCTGCACTGATGATGTTACCCAGCAGGGTAATGAAATGTCTGTGGAACAACGAACCAGCTCGGCGATCCAACCAACCACAACATCCACAACCCAAGCTACAAATCTACTCTAAAATCTTAGACATAAGTGAATGGCATCCCAAGCCTTCTATCACCACATGAATAGTGAAACAGTACTAGAGATGAATGGGGCCGAGTACAGGTCAAAAGGAAGGAAGAAAAAGGGTATAGATGATGTTAATTAAATACTTTGCATCTGTCCTTATGGAGGAAGAGAATACTACCCAAGCGTAGTGAAAGTGAATATCATTAAAGTACAGGATGTGCTAAAAATTGATAAATAACTACCAGAAATTGATAAAATTAAAAGCAAAGTTGTAAAGTTACCAGGATTTGATGGAGCTGCATCCAAGCAAATATGGGGAATGAAGGTTGGAGATGACAGAGGCTCTGGGCCAAGGGTTCTTATATACAGAACTGGTATCAGCGGATTGAGGAATTTCAAATTCTACCTTCTGTTCAAAATAAAAAGCTGCAATGATAAACTCAGGTTCACCAGTTTAACCTCATTGGTGGTGGAGCAGTTAGAAATAATATCCAAGTGACTGTCAAATTTATCTTGGGTTCAGGATGGATTAATTTTTTTCTTCACTTAGGAGATGTGGGTTTCACTAGCTAGCCAACATTCTCTAGGAAGGGAAATGAAGAAAAATTGATATAGACTTGTTAAGAGCACATTCATGTTCAATGATCTTAATTGGTATTTCTAATAAATTTCATGTGTTGCAAATAGAATCATAGAGACATACAGCACAGAAACAGAACCTTCGGTCCAACCAGCCCATGCCTACCATAACCCAAAATAAAGTAGTCCCACCTGCCTATTCCTGGTCCATATACCTCCAAACATTTCCTATTCATGTACTTATTTAAGTGTCTTTTTAAAATGTTGTCCAGTGCCCTCATCCACCACTTCCTCAGGAAGCTCATTCCACACGTGAACCACCCTGTGTGAAGTGTTTATTAAATTTTTCTCCTCTCACCTGAAAAGAAACTCCTTCCACTCTTTAAATCCACCATCCTAGGGAAGATACCGACCATTAACCCTATCTATACCCCTCATGATTTCACAAATCTCTATAAAAAGGTCACCTCTCAACTTCCTACGCTCCAGTGAAAAAGTCCCAGCCTTTCTTTATAACTCAAACCTTCCATACCCAACAACATCCTGGTAAATCTCTTCTGAATCCTCTTAAGCTTAATAAGGCATTTGATAAGGGGCCACAGAACAGACTTATTAGCAAATTAAAGCCCAGAGGTCAGAGGTCACATAGATACAACATACCCAGAGGGACAGCAAACAGTAGTAGTGAGCAGTTTGCTTTTTTGGACTGGGTGAAGTTTTACTGTAGAGTCCCCAGGGGTTCCTTCTTGGACACACTGCATTCCTTGGTCATATTAAAAACCTAGATTTGGATCTTACAGGGCATATTCTGCAGATGACATAAAACATGAAAGTATTGCAAACGGTCATCAAGAGCACGCAGGCTGGTGGCGTGGGAGCTGTCATAATGCTGCGATGCTCAAGAACGTCCTTGCTCCTGTTTCAATTCAAGAGCAGGATGGTTACTGGCAGACAAGGGCCAACCTCATCTGTAGCTAATGACTTCACTACATATTCCATTGACTTAGGCCAAGCGTAGAAAAAAAAAACACAGCCCATTCCTCAACTAGAATCATCATGGAGCAGACAATAGGCCTGCTGAAGATGAGGCTTCAGTGCTTGGACTGGTAGTGGGAAAACTTTGCAATACACTCCATACAGACTGTGCTACATAATCCCAGCCTGCCATACTGCACACAATTGCAGGAGCCAAAAAGTGAGGGGATATGATGGAGGCCAAAGAGCTGGGAAGTGTGGCGCAGTCTGAGGAAAATGAGGACACCGAGCAGGAAGAATGTAGCATAAAATTACAAAGGGATACTGACAGCATAAAATGAATGGACGCAGTTGTGGCAGATGGAGTTTAGTGCAAGCAAGTGTGACGTTATCCATTTTGGACCAAAAAAAGAGGATAGATCAAGGTAGTGTTCAGTTGGTATGAAATTAATTACATTGCACGTCCAAAGAGACTTGGGGGGTTCAGATGCATAGATCTTTAAAATGTCACTGACAGATACAGGAAATAATCAAGGAAGCTAATGGAATGCTGGTCTTTATTGCTAGAGCATTAGAGTACAAGGATACAGAAGTTATGCTGCAGTCAAACAAAACCCTGGTTAGACGCCACTTGGGAGTACTGAGAGTAAATGTGGGCAGCACGTCTTAGGAAAACTCTCCTGGTCTCAGAGGGACTACAATGTAGATTTTCTTTACTTCTACACTTAAAAGCATCTCCCTGATACTTAGTTCAAATTTTCTGGCATAATTTAACTCATAATTGCAAAATTAGATTCAAGCCATTTTATGCTGAAATCAGAGGAACATTTTAACATTACAGAGAATAAAAACAGTGGAGTTCTACTATCAGCAACTGTGGCTGCTGGGTCAATTAGGATTTACAAGATTGAGATCAACAGGAATTTTGGAGAGGTAATGAATGTGGAAGATAAGGGCCAAAGGCAGGTAAATGGAGGTGTGGTACAGTACAGACCAAACATGATTTAAACAGTATGACAAACAGGGTTGAGGGGCTGAACGACCATCACATTCTTATTGTGCGATATTCTGAATAGTCCATATGCTGAAATGTGTATCAGTTCCAAAGCAGCAAAAGTATTGAAGACACTTACCAATGACTTGCAAATCTGTAGTCCACTTCTTTTGTCCATCTACAAAAATGGCAAAAACGCCTTGGTCACTGGATTTTAAATTCTCTAAAATCAAGGACCCATTCGATGTATTAAAATGCAAACGAGATCTAAAGTGTTCATTTGGTTCTGCTTTTGTGTAATTTGGCACATAATCCAGAATATTTACAGGGTTCCCATTGCTGCCAGTGTAAGTCCATAAAACTTCGCTGTTGCTGAGATTAGCTCCACATTCAGGATCCAGTAAAACCGACAAACCAATTGCACCAAATGTACGGTCCTTTCCATCTGAACAACATAAAACAATAAAACAACAAAGTTAACCTTTTAAATTGTGGCAGCATTGAAATACAATATCAAAACATTGTGAAGGAAAATTACTGCAAAAGTGAAAGGGATCCCACATGCCAACCATCCTCCAGGAGAAGTGGCAAAGGGACAGCACATAGCTGTGGCACTTTCCCCCCCAATAGCTAGAAGGGCAGGGAAGCAGCGGTGAGGATATGAATGGGACAGGACAGAGACCTCTCCAGACTGATCTGACTTTTTGCTCGGCAGTTTGGATAAAATGTGAGACTTCTAAACTTTGGACTTGGCAGGTGAAGGCCTAAAGCTGCTGGCTTTGTTTGGAGAGATTGGGAATCCTGTTGAAGTAGTGAGTTACAATTTGGATGCGTCCTGGGATACCTCTGGGTGAGATGAGCTGCATTTTGGGAGAGGTGAGGTGTCCTTTGAGAGTGTTAAAGTAGACATAAATGTGTGTGAAAACAGGAAAACTCATTGGAACGGTCAAGCTCATTGGTAGCCATATCAGCATCAGCACGTGCTGTCAAACTCTTGATGCACTTGAAATTCCTATTCCTTAAATACTTGAAAATAAATTGCCCATTGTGTTTAATGAAAATAATGCTTGCAATTTCACCCTGTCTGTCGAGAAAAGCCCAAGGACCATCACTACAGATTTAGTGCGACGTGATTGTGGGGAGACCTTCCGTTAGTGGGGAGACGGTCAGTTCACAGCTTGACTGACAGCTTCAATGTTTCTCCATTTTATGCCCCTTGATTATTTGGCAGGTTTGAAATGCTATTAGGCATCTTCCACCATGAAGACAGACATATTTGTTCACCTTCTCTGCTAATTCCTGCTTCGCCATTTTTATTTTCCTAGCCTCATTCTCCAAGAACTATGTTCACTGTGTTCTTTCTGTGTCATTTTGGCCTTTCTCTCACTTTTTGTTTTATACTTAAAAGGAAGCTCTTACTATTCTACTCCCTCCCCCCCCATATTACTTGTCAGTTTGCTCTCAGTTTATTTTCTCCCTCTATATTACTTTTTTTTGGTCACCTATTTATAAATCCTCCCATTTCTCTAGCTTACCACTGTGTTTTGCCACATTGTATATGTTTTTTTTTCCTTTCAATAGATACTGTACTATCCTTAACTTCATTAGTTAACCATGATTGGTTTATACCCTTTCTAGAATCCTTCTTCCTCACTGGGATATATCTTTGTTGTCAGACATGACCTATTTCTTTAAACATCTGCCATTGTTCCTCAGCAGTCTTTTAAACTCCTTTCTCAGTCCACTCCAACCTACACTGCCCTCACCCCTTAATTAGCCTTAGTTAAGCTTAATACAATCATTTCTGACCCAGGTTTCTCAATCTCCTGAATACAAAAAGCAAACATGCGATTTAATTGAAAAAAAAATTCAAGCAGATGAGGGGTTAGACAGAGAGAAACTGTATCCTCTGGTAGGAGAGCCAAGAACAAGGAGACAAAGTATTAAATTGAAACTTAGGCTTTTGGAAACCTGGTAACAGTTTTCTCTGTAAAAAAAAATTGTTCAAGCTGGGAGTAAATTGAAAATTTCAAAATTGCGATTGATAAATTCATGATAGACAGCAATATTAAGGTCTAGTGAACCAAGCCAGGTAAGTGGTGTTACAGTACAGAGCAATCATTATCAAACTGAACAGTGGGGACAATCTCATGGGAGGCTGGAGAGCACACCTTTTAAAATTACTTCCATGGAAAAGCTCAGCAGGTCTGGCAGCATCTGTGAAGGAAAAATCAGACTGATTTTTTAGCTGAGCTTTTCTGGCAACTTCTGTTTTTGTTCTTGATTTGCAGCATCTGGTTTTTATTTAAATTTTCCTCATCTTGCTCTTAAATAATTCATTCCTCCTGCGACCCATGTTTAAGATTCCTGAGAAAATGGGAATCATTTCTTCGCATGATTCAGTGAAGGCCCTTCTGAAATCTGAGTATTTTATTTGGATATTACTCCTTCTAAATGTCACTCCCTAATCCCTCAGAACCTGACTGTCCCTGGGCAGAGGACTGGCACCTCCATAGTGATTACAGGAAGTTTATCTGGAAAATCACATGGACTGGGGATATTATTTCCAGTAGGAATCAAAGGAACAAGAGCAGGAGGAAGTCATTTAGCTCCTCGAGCCTGCTGTGCCATTCAATAAGATGGGGGTTGGGGGGGCGGTGGTGGTTGGTGGTAGTCATCAGGGGAGTTGGGGGGACACAGTGGCTCAGTGATTAGCACTGCTACCTCACAGTATCACGGACCTGGGTTCAATTCCACCCTCAGGCAACTGTCTGTGTGTAGTTTTCACATTCTCCCCATGTCTGTGTGGGTTTCCTCTGGGTGCTCCAGTTTCCTCCCACAGTCCAAAGATGTGCAGGTTAGGTGGATTGGCCATGCTAAATTGCCCATAGTGTCTGGGGATGGGTCTGGATGGGATACTCTGAGGGTCAGTGTGGACTTGTTGGACTGAAGGGCCTGTTTCCGTACTGTAGGGATTCTATGATCTATGTGTCACAATCTATCCATGGTCTGACCCTCCCCATCTCTAACCATTTCCAGATCTGTAACTTGGCAAATACAGCACTTCTCTAGTTTTGGTCTTTGCACACCCCTGGCAGTTCTGATTTTTCATTGCCTTTAGGCCCCAAGCTCTGATATCCCCTCCAAAAACATATCGAACCCATGTAAGCAATGTTCCCTCTTAAGTCGGAGCTTCCGAACAATTCAATGGGCATGCTGACACCATTCGCAGCCTTGAATTCCGGTCTCAGAAGTCACTGCCGTGTACAGACATCGGAAATCCATGCAGAAGAAAACAAGACTACGTACTTTGAACGTACAGAAAATTTGCAAGTTATCTTCCCAAAATCCTGCATGTTCTGACATTGAGACCATGCAACATAGGGGCAGAACTCTGCCATTCAGCCCAATTGAGCCTGCTCCACCATTTAATAGGTAAACCTCAATCCTGCTTTCTTGACTTGGCCCCATAACCCCTGATTTCCTTGCAGATTCAAAATCTGTCTCAGCCTTGAATATATTTGAGGTCTCAGCCTTGACAGCCATCTGTGATAAAGAATTCTAAAGATTGACTACTCTCAGGAGAAGAAATTTGTTCTCATTGGTCTTAAACGTGTAACCCCCTTATTCTGAGCTGATGCCCTCTGGTCCCAGACACACTCTCACAAGGAGAAACAACCTCTCCACATCTACCCTGCGGAGAGATAGGTCTCGAGGGTGAAAGTGATGTGGAGACACATATGGTTTTACTGCAGCAAAAGGTGGGAACACCTGAAGATATAGGCACCAGGGGTGAAGCCATTAAAACTGCAGGATACTCAGGAGGCCAGAATTGGCAGAGCACAGATATTAGACACTGACCCAGCAGCAAGGATCCTCCTGGCAGCTTCTGGCTGGCAATTTACTATTTGGGATAAAGGGGAAGACAACATAATAAATCCACAGATAGGTCAGAGCATTTAAAACTCCTGATTTCTGCACTGGTGCTCTACTGTCCCTCTACAGGATGGTAACAGACCTTTCAGTCCAACCAGTCTATGCCAACCATAATCCCAAACTAAACTAGTCCCACCTGCCTCATATCTCTCCAAACATCTCTTATTCACCTACTTATCTAAAATGGCTTTTTAAAGTTGTAACTGTACCCATATTCACCATTTCTTCTGGAGGTGCATATCATCCTCTGTGTAAAAAAAAAAATTGTCCCTCACGTTATAGTCATACAGCACAGAAACAGATCCTTCGGTCCAACCAGTCTATGCCAGCCTTAATACCAAATTTAACAAGTCTTGCCTGCCTGTGCTTAGCCCATATCCCTCCAAACATTTCTTATTCATGTACTTATCGAAATGTCTTTTAAACGTTGTAACTGTACCGGCGTCCACCACCTCCTCTGAAAATTTCTTCCATACAGGAAACACTGTGTAAATAAAAGTTGCCCCTCATGTCTTTTTTTAAATCCTTCTCCTCTCACTTTAAAAAATATGCCTCCGAGCCTTGAAATTCGCCCACCCTAGAGAAAGGGCAACTACCATTTACCCTATCCAAATCCCTCCTGATTTTGTAAATTTCAACGAGGTCACCCCTGATCCTCCTACACTCCGAGGAAGAGGACGCGGGGGGAAGTTCCTGCCTTTCCTTATAACTCAAACTCCTTCAGTGACTTTTCTCCCACGCGGGGAAACCCAGCTCATACCTGCCGCTCCCTCTCCCAGACTCGGCTGGAACCATTCTCTATTGAAACCCCGGCTAAGTGGCTTTTACCTTCCGTGTCGAGGGGCCGGAGAAGGAGAAGAGGAGAGAAGAAGAGAACAGCGAGCAGTATCCATCGAGGCTTCATCCAGACGATTTAACCCCGCTCACAATCCCGGCGATTTTCAATTACTGCCGAAATTGGATTAAATTGGAAATCCCCTGCGCGTCCACAAGACAGGCGAGCAGTTTCACTTTGAGGGCAGTTTGGACGTTGTTGTGAAAGCGAGCAGTGCCTCTTGGGATTCATTTGAACGCATTTGAATTGTTAAAGCACGAAAGGGAGGCCATTCAGCCCGTCTAAATTGGCTGTTTTGATGTTCCCAGTCGGTGCTACCATCACCCCCACAATCCCACTCACTCTTTTCCTTCGCATAGCAGCTCCATTCTCTCCCTGAACCATTCCATTAAAATATTGCCTCCACCTCACTCTCATTCCACGTCATGAGTGGTCCTGTAGAAAGCAGTTTCACCTCCCATTTCCCCTGTACTTCCTTTACCAATCATCGTAAATGACCGAGGGAGGGAGGCAATATCAAACATGCTCATTTGCTCCTCTGAAATGGCCACTCAGTTGTATCAGTAGATACCAAGACTGAACAATGAAATTACACCTGAAAGACCACCCAGGCACAGGAAATAACAATGGCAACAACCAGCCTTGTCAACCCTGTAAAGCCCTTCTTTACTATCATTTGGGGGCTAGCGGCAGAATTAGGAGAGCTCTCTCACAGACTAGTCCAGGGACAGTGTAAAACAGTCATACTCACAGAATCATACATTTGGCACAATGTCCCAGACACCACCATCACCATCCCTGGATATGTCCTGTCCCACCGGCAGGACAGACCTAGCAGAGGTGGTGATATGAGAGTGGTATGCAGTCGAGAGGGAGTTGCTCTGGGAGTCCTCAACATTGACTCCGGACCCCGTGAAGTCTTATGGCTTCAGGTTAAACATGTGCAAGGAAACCTCCTGCTGATTACCATGTACTGTCCTCCCTCAGCTGATGAATCAGTAATCCTCCACGTTGAGCAACACTTTGGAGGCAGCACTGAGGGTGGCTAGGGCACAAAATGTACTCTGGGTGGGGGATTTCAATGTCCACCACCAAGAGTGGCTCAGCAACAGTACTATCGATTGAGCTGGTTGGGTCCTAAAGGACATAACTGCTAGACTGGGGTCTGCGGCAGGTGGTGAGGGAACCAACAAGAGGGAAAAACACATTTCACCTCATCCTCACCAATCTGCCAGCTGCAGATGTATCTGTCCATGATAGTATCAGTAAGAGTGACCATTGCACAGTCCTTGTGGAGACGAAATCTCACCTTCACATTGAAAATATCCTCTACGGTATTGTGTGGCACTATCACTGCATTAAATGGGGCAGGCTTCAAAAGGATATAGGAACTCAAGACTGGGCATCCATGAGGCCATTAACTGCAGCAGAATTGCACTCCAGCACAATCTGTAACCTCATGGCCCGGCATATCCCCCACTCAACCAGTACCATCAAGCCAGGGGATCAACTCTGGTTCAATGGAGAGTGCAGGAGGACATAACAGGAGCAGCACGAGGCATACCTGAAGATGAAGTGTCAACCTGGTGAAGCTACAAAACATATTTGCAGGCCAAACAGCAAGTGACAGAGTTAAGCGATCTCACAACCGACAGATCAGATCTAAACTCTGTAGTCCTGCCGCGTACAGTCACGAATGGTGATGGACAATTAACTCACTGGAGAAGAAGACTCTACAAATATTGACATTGTCAGTGATGGAAGACTCCTGCATGTCAGTGCAAAAGGTAAGGCTGAAGCATTCGCAACAATATTCAGCCAGAAGTGCCAAATGGATGATCCATTTCAGTCTCCTCCCGTGCTCCCTGGCATCACAGATACCAGTCTTCAGCAAATTCGATTGACCCCATGGGACATCAAAACTGCTTGGAGAGACTGGATACTGTAAAGGCCATGGGCCGTGACTTGCCACACCCCTGGCCAAGCTGCTCCAGTACAGCTACAATGCTGGTATCTACCAGACAATGTGGAAATTGCCCTGGCATATCCTGTACATAAAAAGCAGGCCAATTATCGTCCCATCAGCCTATGCCCGATCATCAGTAAAGTGATGGAAGGTGTCATCAACAGTAATAAAAATCCCATGCAATGTCACACCTGTACAAAATCAGGGAAGCTTCAAACAAAAAGACTGAAAAGGAAATGACAGCTGGCTACCTAACCACACTCCCAGGAGGAGGCCAGCTCCTGCAGGCAAATTTGTGTTTTCTCCTTTCAGGGAAGGAACAGAAAACAGGGAGTTCAACCTTGATCTAGGTGTGATCATGGCCTGACATTCTAGTGTATGAACGAGAGTGATTTGAGTGGCTTCTTCACTATCCTGCACCTCGACTTTCTTGTTCCTTGTTCCTTTTGTTAAACCTCCTTTCATCCGAACCCTTCCCTGCCCCATTCATTAGTTTGGAACCCTGGTTGTATTGTACACTGCCCTGTTGTATTGCTGTACTTGCAGCTTTATACAGACAGCAGCTATTGCATCCCTTACCTTGGGAGATCATACTGAACTCTCTTGTTTGCAGCCATTAAAATATTCTTGTTGATGCAGTGTAGATTCCCCAATTATAGAGATCTGCAAAGCCTTACAATCATGCCAGTTTTGACCACTCCAATTAACATCTGTGCACAAGTGAGATTGTTTCATTTTAAAATTGGGGATGCCTTTTTTTGCCTGCCCCTGGTGCAATTTCCCTTCTTCCTCACCCACCTTAACTCTAACCCTCCACCTTCACCTGAATAATACCTTTGTTAGTGACCACTCCCCAAATACGCACACAGACACACACACACGCACACACAGTCACACACACACGTACACACACACCACACATGCGCGCGCGCACACACACACCTACCACTATACAATGGAGATCCCCTGGTTTGTAGCGAAATTCAGCAGCTAAAAATGCTGGGCCTTTCCTTTCTGTGTAGGGTCTATCTTTGAGATGTCCAGCAGCTTTCAGGAGCAGGTTATAATTATTCATCACAGACTGTTACTTTAAATCTGAAAAGTTTAGAACTCTTGAAAGCAAGTAGTAATGTCATTTTCTTTAACCAGTCTGGATAGCTGAATTATTTTTTAAAAAACATAAAAATTCAAAACACTTCAAGAGCTGGAAATCTAGAATAAAAGCATAAAATACTAGAAACGAGACTAAAAAGTTAAAAAGTCAACTACATTGCTCTCTCCACATTACATATTTCCTGCTTTTCATTGCTGAGTTGTTTACGTAGTCGTACAGCATGGAAACAGACCCTTTGATAACCTCGAGCATGCCAACCGAGTTTCCCAAACTAAACTAGTGCCACTTGCCTGTGTTTGGCCCATATCCCTCTAAACCTTTCCTATTCATGTACTTGTCGAAATGTCTTTTAAATGTTGTAGCTGTACCTCCATCTACCACTTCCTCTGGCAGTTCATTCCGCACACAAACCACCCTCTGTGTGAAAAAGGTGCCCCTCAGATCCCGCTTAAATCTTTTCCCCTCACCTTAAAATTATGTCCTTTGGTTTTGAACTCCCCCACCCTAGGGAAAAGACCTTTGCTACTCACTTTAACTATACCCCTCATGATTTTATGAACCTCTATAAGGGCACCCCTCGACCTTCTACGCTCCAGTGAAAAAAGTCCCAGCCCATCCAGTGTCACCTTATAACTCAAACCCTCCAGGCCGGGGAACATCCTTGTCAATACTTTCTGTGCCCTCTTCAATTTAATAACATCCTTTCCGTAGCAGGGCAACCAGAAATGTACAGTGTACTCCAAAAATGGCCTCACCAACGTTCTGTACAACCACAACATGAAGTTTCAACTCCCGCACTAGTTTTGTGTATAAGACCTATCCTACTTGCAACACATTAATTAAGATTCACTGTGGACTTTTTTTTCCCCAGGGGCAATCTGCTCTCAACTCTGGTCAGAGGAAACGCATGTGTAGACCTATTTGACGTCAGTACCTTTGCATTTTAATGTAACCCTGGGCTCTTTAACTACAGTCGTTGGAAATACAAAAGGGCACTACACGAGAGACTAGAGTGTGCACAGCAATTCTAACAAAAAGCCACCGTCCTGAAATGTTACATGGCACCGATTTTCTTGGAGTCAGGTTGCCTGCCTGCCTCTGGCCTTTTTTTTAGAAAGAGGTAGGTATTCATTCCTGATACAGACCACCCGTTCCAATAAACAGTCACAAAACTACCGTCTCAAACCAGCCAACTCTGTTGCATGCAGTGATTCTTGATGAGTCATGGCTCACGATCAAACCACACACCCCCAAGGGAATCATGAACCACAGTGTAGATTCAGGACCTTCTTGAAAAGCAAATTCAAAATCTTGCACCCATTCCTGTCATATCTCCTGCTCCCCTTGAGATCTCCTATTCCTCCTCACAATTTCCACAACGCAGAACTCATATACTTCTTCAGATCCTCCAAATTTTAGGCCTCATTTCTATCACTCTCCCAACCCCCTATCTCCCATCCTCCAACAAATCTCCCAACCCCCTCATATACTTCATATAACAGTCTCTGATATCTCTCATTCCCCTTCATATAATTCATATCACAGGTCCTCACATCTCTCATTCCCCTCATATCACAGACCCTCATATATGCCGTGATAACAAGGTGTAGAGCTGGATGAACACAGCAGGCCAAGCAGCATCAGAGGAGCAGGAAGGCTGACGTTTTGGGCCTAGAGTCTAGGC